GTTAAAAAACAAAGAAGGGGAAGGGAATATAAAATACTGGGAGGTTGCAGTTTGACTCAGAGAGACCTCACTGAGAAGGCAGTTCTGGAATAAAGATGTGAAAAAAGAGGGAGGGAGCTGCGAGGTTGCCTGAAAGAAAAGTATCCCACACATCCCTGACTAAGATGCCCTCTAGGACTAAATAATTCTGACAAATGGCCACAGCCTTTTTGCCCTGCAGTTCATTTGGTTTCTTGCCCTTTATCACATTTCCTAGCAGTGAATTTTTTCCACCAAAGATAGCAGAGCAGAGCTTTCCTGCGGAAGTGTCAAAAGCAATCAAAGTTTTCAGTGAGAAATGGGTCACCCAACAGGAGGTTTATAATGTGAGGGAGAACGGGACACATAGGCTACCCACTTTCTCTTGGGATTAGAGGCATTGGCAGGAAAATGGGGTCAGCTCTCTGACAGTGAGGATTGTGGAGCAATTTGTCTCTGCCTGAGGCCACAGGATAGAGAGAGGAGAGCCCAGGTATTAGCTGGAAAAGAAAAACTCAACCTACGGAAAAATGAGCAACTTTCCCTTTTTAAGACCAGGTAGCTGTTCCTCCATGGGCTCTGTCCAGCATTTTATGTACCGCTTGGATATAAGTCCTCGCTCCTCCAATTCTTAGTTGGATAACCTTAGGTAGATTGTTTAATTTCACTGAGCTTCATTTTTCATCTGTAAAATGGGTATGATAATAGTAGCTACCTTATCTGGTTGACATTGGGGATTAAGTGAGATCATGAAGGTAAAGTGTCTGGAATATAGTAACGAAAAGGAGAAAACTCTGAGATGTCCTAAATTAAATTAAGCAGGCCAAAAGGTGGAAGAAAGAGCCAAGAAGAGGTTAATCATCGAACTAACAACCGCAGGGCCGGCTGACGAAAGACTGCTCACATTCTTGAGTGTATGTTGGAACTTTGAATTAACTTCAGTGGCTGTTTCTGTGACTTTCTGAAAGAACCACTCCCCAGGAAGCACCATTTCTTGCTCACACATGAACTTTCCAGACTTGCCCACAACCAGTCCAAAGGAGCAACCACTTCTTTATGTACTCTGCCCCATCCCAGAACTGCCCCAGCTCTGTCTTATCCTGCCCCCTCATCTGTGGCCAATGTAAATCCTTTCAAAACAACTTATATCTTTCATCCCCCTACTTGATGTGTAAAAAAGTCCATCAACTCCAGGATGGTGGACATGTTGCCTTTTCCACCTAGTGTTGCTGCTGATGGTGTAGACTTCATGCCCCAGGACCTGGCCCTTTATGGCCCAATAAACCCTTTTACAAAGGCTTTCAGCCATGGAAGTTAAGTTTCTTGTATAACAGTAAATACTCAATAAATGAGTACACCACAACCATCATCACCATCATTACTGTCATCGTCACCATCACGACCATCATCGTTTCTTGGGCTTAAGGGGAAATAACGCCAAGTTAAGGGACAAGAGGCATTATTTAGTACATCTTTAAAACACTTATCAGTATGTCACAGCATCTGGTACTGAAGGTTCAGCTGAAAGACTGTTAGACAAGCTGGTAATCTTCAGGGCAAGGAAAGTATTAAAAAAACCTCAGACAAGCAGTAAAGGGTTAAGGATTTTCAGGATGGGAAGTGGTTTACAAATGAGCTTCCCTGGCCCCAGAGCAGGGGGTGGGAGGAGGAAATGGAGCCGTTTTAGAAACACCAAAGGCACCTTCGAGACAGGATGCTGTGTTGATGACCAGGAAGCTGCCTGAGTAACTGTCTGTGAAGTGGGGGAGAGGCCTGTGGTGAGAAGGGCCCAGGAGCCCAATAACCTCGCATGGCTTCACCCTGTGTCTCTTTAGTCCCAGCTTGTTCTTAGTTTCATGGAAATAACCAAAGCTGACAATGAAATCTTTCAGCCATAAATCTACCTCACGGCACGAAGAGACCTAAACCCGTAAGTATTCAGATGTCTCTAAAAATAACACATTACGTTTCTCTTTCATTAGGAGGTTCTGCATAATAGTTTAAAATGCTGGTCAGGTCACACTGACCTGGGTTTGAATCCTGGCTCTGTCTTACTATATAACATCCGACGAGTTATATAATTTCTCTGGGTTTCAATGTTCTCATTCGTGCAGTGGCAATTGTAATAAAATCTACCCGATCGGGTAATTACGGAAATTAAATGGGATAATACATATTAAACATTCAGCACAGTGCCCAGCACATGGTCAATACATATTAATTATTATTATTTAAGTCTTTTGGATGGATTGTTTTCTGGTGATATAGACGGAGAAAGGATAATATAAATTATAGAGAAAGAAAAGGAAGAAGCGATATGGAAAAGAGAGGCAGGACTTTAAAAGCTGATCCTGAAAGAGAGGCACTTAATGGCTGTGGGGGGAAAAAATTCTCAAGGGAGAAAGAGTGATAAAGATGGCAGGGACTCAGAGGCAGAGGCTCAGCTTTGATTTCTGCCAAGGTTTCATCCATCTGGTGTTGGCTTCTACACTGGTTTTTCCCTCCAAATGGAGCTCTAGAAGCCTGGTGTTGCAACTCAAGTCAGGGAGACACATTGTCTCTAAACTTCTGCATTCAGTGGAGGATATAAGAAATTTTCATGATTCTTTTTCAGAATAGAATTCCTTTGAGACTAATAAGGGACAGGCCTGTGAAGTGAGCCAGCAGTGACCACTGGCACACATAATCCTATTTCTTTTTGGCTGACAGCTCATGCAGAGAAAAACACTCTTTGATCCAGACAAAGGTAAATGTAGCTTAAATCCCAACACAAAATCCTGACCTTCCATACTCAGCCTCTATTCCCAGTCTATGATGATCCTAGACACCAGAGATATCAGAAACACAATCCACATGTTTCTCGCTGTTGGGCTGTAATAATTTAATCATTGCTGGAGGTAAAGTGCTCAAAGGGTAGGATAATTCAGATTTTTTTAGGACCTACGCAAAAAAAAAAAAAGGAACAGAATGATGTCTTTCCTCATTTTTGTTTAATAGCGGATATTGAATGGAGCATCTATTAGAGATGAACATACAGAAAATAGAACACAGATTGGAATAAATAATGTGATCTAGAAAAATGAAGCAAATGGGTAACACAGGATTTTTTTCTTTTATCTGAATTCACTCCTATGGCTTTTTGAGTTCCAATCAACGACAAAACCAGGGCAAAATTGCAGTTCTAAGATGAATTTTCAATATGATCCCTTCTGATGTGCCTTTACAAACACAGGAATTTAAGAAACCAAGTGGAAGCTGGATTTGAATATAAAAATGTAGGGCACCCTTGATAGGAAGATCAAAGGGCAATTTTTACATGACAAAAATTAGCTTGACCCTGAGGAACACTGCTTTTATAAAATTAAGTACAGATTGAAGTCATGTATTATGATCCACTCCATCTGTTCAGAATACATTATATGTACACATGTCGTATATATGTGTACATATATATATATTTTTTTTTTTAGGAAAGAAGAGAAATATGTTTATTTCACATTTTTGCTAAGTTACTTCCCTAAGACACATTATGTTCTGACTTCTGGGATGACTGTGATTGCAATCTGCCTGCTTTTCTTTCTAACTTAAGCGAGTGTAGCTGGCCTGCATAGAAGGTGATGTCCCAGATATCCAAGCACCTGGGGCAGCTGACTTCTACAAAGACAGAAATGCTCTCATTTCTGGATTCAGATACTGACCCTACACTTAGCACTTTCCCTTAGGCTGCCCAAGGCTGGGGCTTCTTTCATCCCCTGAGCTCTGCTGCTGAGGTCCATGGTTCCTTAGTTGGTGTAAGGAACTCAGCTTAGTCCTGCCACTGCCTCAAGCCAGTCAAGCTGCTCATTTAACCATGAGCTTGATGTGCAGCCCAGTGTGAAATGCAGAGAAAAGAGAGACGTCTGTGCCCAGGGGGAGGGAATATTTAAGATTGGGCCTCTGCTTTAAGATTTGGGACTCAGTTTTGTCTTTTAGTGTTGTATGTATCAATATTCCAAAGGAATTTTCCTTGGATGCATTTTGCTTTGAATTTGAAATTGGCTTTTGATGCTTTTTATTGAATGAGGCGCAGGCACGGAACTACATTCATTATTTAGACTAGAATTTATTTTGCACTTGATGTAGAAAAATCTGGCACGCTTGTTCAGGGTAATTGCACAGAGTGAAATGAACCCAACTTATGTAAAGGATTATTGAAGGAATAGAAAACTTCCAAAGTAAGCCTGCTAAATCATTCATTCGGAAACTGATTGACATTTTGCCCAGATCTGGATCCTGTGCTTTTAAAGCAAAGCAAAGATGCAATTATTTAAAAGTGATGGTGAAAAGCAGTATTGAAAGAGAGCAATCCTGGAGGGTGGATATATATTAAGTGAGTATTCTCTCTTAAATAATGTAATTCACAGGCCATGAGGCTAGGCTCTGGGAATCCCCTCTCAGCTTATGTTTTCACCTGGCAACATTCGATATTTTATCGTTAAAAGACATGAAAATGCAATGCAAATGATGTCACTCACTTTAAAAAAAATCATCACCCGAGGATATATTTATTGATTTTAGAGAGGAGGACAGGAGAGAGAGATAAACATCAATCAGTTGCCTCCTGTATGCACCCTGACTGGGGATCGAACCCACAATCTAGGAATGTGCCCTGACCAGGAACTGAACCTACAACCCTTCAGTGCATGCGAGGGCGTTCCAACTCACTGAGACACACTGGCCAGGGCATGTCACCCACTTTTTAAGAATAATTATCTCTCAGCCCTGGCTGGGTAGCTCAGTTGGTTAGAGCGTCGTTCTGATACATTAAGGTTTGATCTCCAGGCAGGGCACATACAAGAATCAACCAATGATTGCATAAATAAGTGGAACAATAAACCGATGTTTCTCTCTGTCTCTGTCTCTGTCTCTGTCTCTCTGTCTTCCCCTTCCTCCCTCTCTCTCAAATCAATCAATCAATAAAAAAAGAATAATTATCTCTTTTATTCTTTTACAGATTTTTATTTTATTTTATGATTAAACTTTTGCTATGCACTAAATGGCTGAAGTTAGGCTTGAAGTCTAATTCTGGAAATCTAGCTTTTTTGAAATGAATTATTTCTTTTACAATTTCAGTTAATGTCTATACATCTATCTGATGCTAAAAAATCTGATGTAAAGAAACTGTAAATCTAAGTCCTTTCCTTTGCTTTGTACATAAAAAGTCTAAAATTTCTGAAGAGGTAGATGCAACATTTTCTTCAGTTAATTGTTTTCTACATTTAATCACAGAAACATTTCAGCCAATCAAAAAGCAAGTAGAAAAACCCCATCTTTAATGGATTCCTTGAGTAATTTTTATTCTAGATTGTAAATAAGTTGTTTTTATGTTTTCTATTTGGCTGTTTCAGGAGATACACAAACGAAATACACAACATAGACTAATGAAATGCCTGTATGAAACACAGGCACTCTATCAGGGGAATAAAAGCCAATGCAGAGGAGGGATTTTTCACACTTGCAAAAGTATGGGTTTTATTTGCCCTGGAGAGAGCCACTGGGCAAGACACCCTGTGACAGTGCCTGTGAGGATGTCTAATGTAGAAGCGTTCTACAGCACCCCCACCTGGAACGAGCACATAGAGCTCAGGAAGAGAAGTGCCCATTGGCAATGCCTCTCCCAGCTGCAGGGTCTTCTGTGCAGCTTCTCATGGATCAACATACCAGTTAGTCAACCCACACATCTGTTTCCTGCCCCTTAGAATCAATGATAGTATTTGCTGCTCGCGAATATGATCTGTGTGTTCAAAAAACAGCCTGGCGCCACTGTAGTTGATTTAAAAATGCAGTCCTAGGGCTACTGTGTTGAAGTCCCTTTAATTTCCTATTTAAATACTTCCAAGTTTTGTAATTATGCTATCATGTATTTATGGTCATAGGAAGTCAATTTTAAACTAAATACTCTGTAGTACCCCTTTTTCATATATATTTTCATATCATATACTAAGTTTGGGATAAAAAAGTTCAGAAAGGGTATAAAAATAAGTTGAAGGGTAGAACATTTTAAAAACCATGAATGTCCTTTGAATATTTTAAGGTTTATAAATTTTATTAGTATTTTAAAGCAATTTAAGAATTATTATAAACTCTCTTTCAATTTGTCTCTGTTGGGGTGAGATCAAGTTCCTTTATTGTGAGCATACAGTAGGAGCTCAATAAATGTCTGTTTCAAGAATGAATGGCTCTAAAGAGATACTTATGTTCTTCTTTAACTATTACAGGTAAATCTATAAATAGTGTTATCTTTGCCCATGACATTTATGTAACAAGACTACGTTCAGTATAAGAACTGATTTAAAGTAACACTATAACAATGGAAAATTTAAAGGGTTAAGAAAAAGTCTAGGGTCTGCCCATGGATTTCTAAATACAGGATGCTTGACCAGGAAAATGGAAATGAGTTTTTGTGAATGAATTTCAGATGAAAGGAAATTACCAATACAAAGCTGTGTAAGTTTAAATTAATATCAAGAAACACTATTATCTGTAAAACAACCATATACATTAAGAGAAATGATATTCTCTTTAAACTTGCATTCTCAATACTGTCTGTGCAAAATTGCTTGTAGTGTCCTCAAATTGGTGTCTGTAGCCAGATGCTTAGAAAATATAACCTTCAATGTTAAATATATCAAAGCCAAGTAGCTGCTGTTTCCTTGAGCTGGACGGAGTCTGGCCGGGTCATGGCTGTGCTTCTGAACAACTGGCCTGGATATGTGAGACCTGCAGGACCGGCAGCAGCAGCTGGAGGGCATCCTGGATGTACGTCGTGCTATTGCAGCCCTGAGAGAGGAGAAACGTGCGGTTAAAGGGTTGTTTTCATAGTTCAATCCTGACAATTCTTCCAATTCGATCATGTTCCCTCGCATCAAGCCCCACAATATTTTATAGTATTTTTCTTGTAACATTGGTGCTTAAAGCAAATGTAAACACGTTCCTTGGGATGGAGTGCTCCCAGCTCTTAATGAGCTATAGTAACAGAGAGAAGAAGTCACTCAAAAGGAGACAAGCCATTTCCATAGACTTGGAGGGCGCATTCATGTGTGCATATTCATGATCCAATATGTCCAGTCTTTTAACTATCCTAAAAGACTAACTAACTTAGTCTTTTAACGAACCAGATCAACCCCGCTGTCCTGAAATAACATAAGAGCACAGTGTGAAGGGGGCTCTAGTCTGTCCTAACCTATAGATGAGTAAACAAGAATGGTCTGCATAAAGCTAACTGGAGATACTGTGCAGTTATTCCTGGCAAGCCTTGAGCGCCAGCGTCCTCCCATGTGCGCTGGCACCTTCTACTTGGTTTGGTAGCTGCTGTTGCCGGGCCTGTTCTGGGGTGCTCTAGCAGACACCATTTAAAGCTTCAGGTAATTAAAACACCAGGAAGCGTCCACTGGGAGAGTGAATAAATATTCTACCCCATCCTCTCGGTGACCGATATGGTCAGCTACTCTGTTGACGCCTTCTGGGAGGCCAGGGCAGAGATTTTCCTGTTCCACATTCTGCCTCGGATTGCTTGGGTTTCCTCTTAACTGTCTGTTTCCCGAGAACCTGTCCTTACACTCCTTGCTCCTCGACTCCATCCCATGTGTGGCTGTGTCCTGTACAATAACACTCGGTGCCACCACTTCTTTTGTCACTTTTTTTTGGTACCTTGATAGTTTTCCTTCACAGTAAGGCATGACTCCTAAAAATGTTGCTATAAATATATAGGTAGCCCTCCCTTACTTGAAGTTCTGTAATTTCCAAATTTTGAATTGATACCTGTAAAAAATTACAATATATGCATTGCCCATGTTTAAGCTTAACTTGTTACCACTGTATGGCTTCAGCTGGGTGCCCTGTGGCTACAGATTTTTCTGTTTCTTTATTGTGTATCCCCTAAGGGAGGGTTCTCTCCCACCAACCACAGGTAGAACACACAGTCTTATGACTCAGGGATGTTCCTGAGCCTCTCTTACATCACTGTTTCTGGCAAAGACATAGAAGTGTCCGGGCAGCTACCTGTCTATGCCACAAGGTCCTGGTGAGCGGACAGGCCATGGAGCCAGTGGTTGCACAGGATGGTGCCTCTCTGGTCACTGAACAGGCAGAGGCTAAACAGTCTGGCGCTTAGACCCAGCTAAACCAAAGATTATTGTGAACGAAGGGAAGTGCCCATTTTTACAAAAATCTCCACTGAGCAAGAATCCCTCACTGCAGCCAATAATCACAGTGTCAAATCTGGTGTCAAACCAGGCAACAGACATCTGCTTCTGCTGGAGAAAACAGCAGCAGGAATATCGTGCAAGCTTTGCATTTCTTTTTATAATCAGGAATTCTTGAAAATTAGGTATTGTTGCTTCACCCGAGGGTTTACAGCTGGTTGAGCTCCACAAATTTACTAAAAAAAAAAGAGTGTTGATGATAAGATTTAGAATTGCAGGAACACTTGCTGCGTGGGAAGAAAATGTAGCTCTAACATTTGCTTTGATTCGGAAGCACTTTCTCTCCCGGGCCACTTACCTCTAACAATACACTGTTGATCATGGGGTTAAGGACCTCGGCCTTCTTGTTGCTCTGGAATGAAAAGGGTGAAATTGACAGATTAGGTGCTCAACTCAAGGCTCGCCACAGAAAATGTCACACACTGGCTTTGTTGAGGGATCTCTTAGGGAGGAGAGGAGAAGTTGAAAGCTTACTCTGGACCCAGCTTCATATTTGCTGCTTCCCCTAGATGATCTCATTTAATTTTGACAAAAATCCTAAGAGGTAGGTAAGTACCATGATAACCCTAAATTAAAGATGAAAAATGGCAATCAGGAAGGCTGAATAACTTGTTTAAGGTCACATAGCTAGAAATTTAAACTCAGACCTTTGTGACTATTGAAGACTTGTAGGTCTGGGATTAGGGTGAGCAGAGTGAGGCTGGGTTGTAGCAGTGCAGAGCTGGAGCCTGTCTTTACTTAAAATTGTTTTGCATTAATTTTGATTTGATTTTTTAAAAATATTGCATTGCCCTAGCCAGTTTGGCTCAGTGGTCAGAGTGTTGTCCCGAGGACTGAAGGGCCCCAGGTTTGATTCCAACCAAGGGCATGTACAGTTGCAGGCTTGATCCCCGGCCTCTGTCAGGGCATGTGTGGGAGGCAACCAATTGATGTGTCTCTCTCACATCGATCTCTCTCTCTCTCTCCCCCTTCCACTCTCTCAATGGAAAAAGTATCCTTGGTTGAGGATTAAAATAATAATAATAATAAAAATCTTATTAAGCTCTGGCCGGTGTGGCTCAGTTGGTTGGGTGTTGTCCTGTGCACCAAAAGGTTGCTGGCTCTATTCCCGGTCAGGGCACATGCCTGGCTGTGCAGGAGGTAGCTGATCGATCTTTCACTCTCACATCGATGTTTCTCTCTCTCTCTCCCTTTCCCTCTCTCTCTAAAAAAATAAATAAAAAATAGTTTTAAAAATTGCGTTAAGATATTTGTCTAGATGACTGAAGTTGTTTTTTTGTCTTCTTTGGGGGGAGCTCCCTTACATTTTTCAGGTGAGTTAAGAACCTTACTTGCCTACCTTAGTCTCTGCCCTGTTCATTAGTCTTTTTCTTTCTTTGTTTCAATGTAAAACATGGGTATTTGGTTAGAGGGTGTGTCTTCCAGATTAACAGCAAAATTAAAACAATCTTAAATATAACTTGCAAACAAGTCTATAGATCCCAGTGGGCAAAACATAAACATATGCAATATATACAGAATACAGAGTCTGATATAAAGTGGGTATTCAAAAAATGAGAGCTAGTGTTAGTATCATCATTATTATCTCCACTACTGTCTATCCATTAACAGTCTTCTCTGTCTAAAATGTTCAATCTACTCTTCGACAATAAATAATGAAAGGGATTGGACAGAGAGAGGGCAATCTTAATAGACTGTTTTTCCTTACCGTGCCCAGAAGACATTATGGGGAACAGAAGTATATAAATGAAATACATCTTCCCGAGCAGCCCACTTTCATTGACATTACTCTACTGGGGAAACCACAATGAAGTCTTGGTGGGGAAAAAAAAAATCTTTAAAAGCCCAGTCATTTTAGTAAGTAACTAGAAAATCCATTATGGTATTTGCTTTCATGTTTACTTGATTATCAATAAACCTCTAAAATATAATCAAAATGACATCAGTTTCAGAATCAATGAGATGTGCAAGCAATTTTAATAGAGTCTGGAGAGCAATAGACTGTCATTAGCTTCGAGCTATGAATAATGGCAGGTATGGAGAATAGAGACAATGACTTCATGCGGATGATTCATCCCAGTCCTGGAAGAGGAGGGCCGTTGTGGCGAGGCGGCATTTTACTGAGCTCTATTTAGACTTAGCTTTTTCTTCCTCCAAAATAATAACAAGTGTGTTTCTGATTTTGTGCACACAAACATTTGTGCACATATGTGTATTTATAGTTGATCCCTGAACAACTTGGGGTTACGGGTGCTGAGCCCCTGCACAGTTGAAAACTGTGGATACCTTTTTTAAAAAATCCTCACTCAAGGATATTTTTTCCATTATTTTTCAGAGAGAGTGAAAGGGAGAGAGAGAGAGAGAGAGAGAGAGAAACATCGATGTGAGAGAGACACATCCATTGGCTGCCTCCTGCATGCGCCCTGACCAGGGCCGGGGATCGAGCCTGCAACTGAGGCGTGTGCCCTTGGCCAGAACTGAACGTGGAACCCTCCAGTCCACGGGCCGATGCTCTAACTACTGAGTGGAACTAGCTAGGGCTGTGGGTAACTTTTGATGTCTCTACTTCTCAGAGCCCCTAATAGACCCATCTCCATTAAAAAGTTGAAAAAAGAATCAGTATTACACTCTTACCCCAACAGTGGTTAAGGAATTTGTAAACTTCTTTGATAAGGAGGCCACTTCATTGCACATTGCAGTAGTTAATCTGAAATTAAAAAAAAAAAAAGCGATTGGGGATTTTCAATAAAGTAAAATAATTTAACCATCAAGACAATTACTGATATTAATACTCATATATTGATACCAGTATTAACACAAGTTTGAAGATGCTTTGTAGAAATGTTTTTCTCAATAACTTTCCATGATTCACAAACACAGTTTAATCGAATCCTGGTTTTCTTTGCATGCTTAATTAAAGAATAATCATCTAATTCAGTCTACCTCTTTTTAGACTCAAAACCACATGCAGAAGAACATCAGTCTCGGCTCCACATGTAGAGGGATTTAACACTCTTGCCAAGTGGCTTTTCTCCAGCTTTTTGGTCATTTTTAAATAACAATGAACATTCACTGAGGTACTATATTAAGTACTTTTGTATAAATAATTTCATTTAATCCTCACAGTGACCTTATTGGTTACATTATTATTCCCATTTTATAGATGAAGAAACTGACATTTAAGAAGGTTAAATAACTTGCTTAGGACATGCAGTAGTGATAGAGCTGGGATTCAAACTCAGGTGTCTCTTGATATCTTAACTGTTTTTAACAGATGACCCTGCAGAATATGTTTTTAAGACATATCAAAACTCCAAGTTTATTCCAGCCATTCCACTTCTAAGACTTTACCCCAAGAAAATAATGCAATATGGACACAAATACTTCACTAAAGCAATGTGTCATAACATTACAGAATTCGGAATATGTAGAGCTGGTATAAATCCCTATGAACGGTGGGGTGTGTTTGCATATTTTTGTGAAGCTTGCTAAGAAGTCCCATTAAGGTGTCCTTTCAGTATTTGTGTGGTGTGTTGAAAACGTAATTACTCTTAAAGGTCTGTACTTCTATGACTTGGATCTATTAAAACAAACACTTTCTTAGCTCTGAACTATTTAGGGTGTCTTCTCTTAAATCTCTTCATAAATAATTCCTGAAATGACTAGCTAACTATTATTATCCTTGCTGACAGGGTTCATTTCTTAAGAGAGTACTTGTACCTTAAGATGAGCATAAAAACTGGAATTAGCTGACTTGAAAACTGAATCTTTAGTAGCCTAGGGTGTGTGTGTATTTGAATGGCACATGGATGTAAAATTGGAAAAAAAAGAATTTAAAATAACATTTACTTTATCAGAACTTTTGCTTGGTCCTGAGCTGGTTTCTCCTCTTCTTGTCCATGAAGAATTAATTCTGCTACTTTATGAAGCTGCTCGATACAGCGTGCTGTGACTTCTGCGAGACTTTCGATGGACAGCATGTATACTTCCTGAAATAAGTGAATGCAAGTAAGAAAATTATGCACTGAGCAGATGCTTTTAAAAAAAAAAGTGATATTAAAACATATGTGTATATATATATGTGTGTGTGTAATTCTTGGAAAAAGAACCCAAATATGACCTGAAAAAGTTTACCCAAAGATTAATGGGTATGTCTAAGGCTTTTCTAAGTGGAAATTCTGCCAGAAAATGGAAGTGCTGTCTGGTTCCCAGGGACATGGTTAAGTGTTAGTCACGGCTATGTCCCTAGTTCTCAGAGCAATGCTGGGCACACAACAGGCAGGTGCTCAAGAAGGTGTGGGAAAGGGCGGTTGAATGAACAGACCTCAATGGACATTTTTCTCAGCGTGATCTAATTTTAAAAATTACCTTTTCTAAAATTAAAATCCAGTGTAAGATGAAGTTATTGCAAACTCATCTTTAAACATGGGCAGGATATCAATTATGCACATATATATTTATTAAACTACAGAATAAAAACTATTGCAATAAAATTTTTTTTTTTGGAAAAAGCTTCAATTACCTCATCGTTATGGGGCATAAAGACATTTTACGGTTACAAATTTGCACACAAGATGGAATTTCACTCTCAAGGTAAATCAACTCTGTTCTTAAAGATCATTTTCTCCCCTTCAAATTACAATTGTAGAGCTATGGAGAAAAGCTACAATAGCTATGCTGAGTCACTGATTATCTTGGTGCGGAGAAATTGTAGTGTTTATTATACTAATTCTCATATTTCTATAATAAAAATGAAATGGCTTTCCCTCGCTTTAAATTAGGCTGCTAATAAAGTGAACATAAGATTACAGTCTAAAAGAGATGGACCTCAACGGCCTTCGCTCTCCTTTCTTCCTTCCCTTCTTCGGGGTGTTCAGGTTCCGTTTCCTTTTCTTCCTTCTCAGTTTTCTCCTCGGTCCCTTCTGCCACATCTACTGGCGCCTCGGCTTGGTCATCTCCCACCCAGTCGTGAGCTTTCTTCATGGCCTGCAAAGATCCCCAGCCAAGGCAAGACATTCACTGTGCAAATACGGGGAGTGAGAAATTCCCTGAGCCTTCAAGGCTGGTTCTCTGCACATTTGAAGAATGACGGGGCGATTCCCTAAGCTCCTTGAGAACAGCTTCTTGTCGCTTTCGGGCGAGGGGACAGAATAGAAAGGAAGGACGGAGAGGACGGCACAGGGTGGAGGGTGTTTTAAAAAGCACTCTAAGATGATACTCGGGTAAGAATAAAAACGATGGACATCTTAAAAGGGTGATAGTGCCTTTTTCACGTTTCAGGACCAACTATAAAAGAATCACAGTACTTTCTGAATATGTAGGTTAGAGATTCAGCAGGGGTCATTGCTAAAGCAACTGTCCTCATGGCTGTGGCTCATGAAGCCCTCAGTGCCGCCTGAGCCTGCTAATGCAGCGCCCTGGGGAGGTGAGACAGGCTCTTCTCCAGTCCTGCCAGGGCTCCGACCTCACGAGGAGGGGAGAAGGGCCGCTGGAGAGACCTGGCGCCACTCAGCGACTGGTTTAATTTCACAGGAGTGCCTAAGAAATTATGGCTACATTGAACAGGCATCAGCCACCTTCCCGATCTGCTGTTCCCTACATTTAGAAAGGGAGCTTTTATCAAATAGTTTTTAAGCTGTCTGCTTAAGTGAAAGTTGTATCTGAGCTCATGCCAAACCTACTTGTCATCTTAAAGCAGACCCATCAAAGTTTAATATGTCAGAGCGTTGAGTGGCATGTTAATGGTAAGAAGATCTGGGGAGACATAAACCCAACAACACGATCCTTGGTGTGCTGTCCGCTTTTAGGGACTGAGGTTCGCCTGACTATGGTAATAAACCGGGGAGGCCTTGGAGGCACCGCACACTCTCCGAGCAGTGGCAGGTGCTGCGTGGAGATGAATGAGGCAATTTCCCATTGTGTTCAAGTCACTGACCTGCCAGAGTCGGTGACCTCTATCGGAGATAAAGAAATTACTCATCTCTCCTCCTCACTGCCTCATTCTGCCCTTTCCTCACCCACCTGGATAAATGATGCCCTGTGCCAACCACTGCTCGCTAAAGAGAAGAAAGGGAAAACAGGGAGAGAGTAGGAAAAATGTCACAGTTTTAAGTAACCAATGATCAGTGTCCTCATTAAGAAACTCTGCAGCAAGACCTTGTGCTAACTTGCAAAGCCGACTGAGGTACCATTAGGGGAACTCAGAGTGTTGTAGCTGGAAGATTCTTAGACACAGCACAGGACCAGAATTCCAGGTGGGAGGGACGTGAGGCGGCCCTGGCTGATGTGCTTCTCTCTGCCTAATTCTGGCCTGTCACTTCAGGTGGGGAGGGGAGATGGCATTTGAAAAAACCCCTTGGGGATTCTGTACTCCTTCTCTTCCCTACGCTGAAGACAAGCACTGCTCTGACATAAAATTCTATTTTGAGAAGTGACTTGTTTAAGGTCATAAGGTAATTACTACGGAAGCTGCAACTAAAGCATAGGTCTAGCACGTTCTCTACCTTCGCATTTCATTATGTAGCCTCCTTGAATCTTAATTACTGACCACAGACTTTCCTCCGCCCATGTGCCATTTGGGGTTTGGGGTTTTTCCACTTCAGGTGGGTCTCTGGAATTTTATAACTGAGACCTTCTTCTAAAAAACAAAATCTCAGACAGACGGGGCTGACCTTATTGAGTTTGTCAGGCGTGGCCGCAACGTGTAATTCAAAGAGAAGCTCTGTAAGCATGCTGGCAAATTCTTCTCCCTTTTCTTCCGAGCCTAGAAATAGGAAGCGACAGAAGTAAGAAGCATGATTTATTTTTTTCTTTTTCAAAAGGTGGCAGCTCCCCCAACCCACAGCCTGCCCTCCAGCTTCCAAGCAAAGATGAGTGTCGCCTACTTATGACACAGCCGCGAGGCAGCAGGCTGCTGCTCACAGCACTAGCTGGGGTGCCCCCAGGCTGGCCTGAAGGCAATGTGGGGGCTGGGAGAGACTTATCCATCTTATTTGCAGCTATAGGTAGGTGGTCAGTAGCTGTTTGCTGAAAGAATGACTGAGTGAACAAATAAATGACCTTTCTCAGGTCAACACTGTATTTATGACTTAGAGTATTGCTATGCCTAGCGTTGCAACACTGATGAGACTCAGGGCGCCCTTTCATGTCCACAGAACCACAGTGCTGAGGAAGGCAAATTAGTCTCGATGGAGGAGGTGATGTCTGAACTGAACCTTCAAGAATGAGAAGGCATTACACATGCACAAAGGAAGAGTCTGGGGGTGGAGGGAAGGAGAGAAGGGGAAAGAGCAAGAGATTTCATCAAAAGCTGAGATTCTCTCTCTGCTGAGTGAAGTTTTGGTCTCATCTTCTCTAGGTAGGCAAAGTAAGAGGGGCAGGGGCACATCTGAGCATCGACAAGATTTCATCCCCAAACTGCCTGGTCCTCCTTGTTCTGTAGAAGGCAGTGTTACAGGGCAGAAGGAGCCCTGCACTGAGGCTTGGAAGGTGCAGGCTCTATACCAGCTCCCGTATCTAGTGGATCTGTGACATGCGGCCAGTCACAGGGCTTCTTAGCTTCCAAACCTTCCTCTGCAAATTTAGGATAATAAAACCCAACCATCTCCTCGTTAGCTGTGTTGCAAGAACCAAATAATATAACAAATGCAAAAGTATTTTGTAAACACTGAAGTTTCAAGAACTATATTGTTATGTGCTATAAAGATATAACATAAGGAGGTAAAAAATATTTGGGAGTAATCAACACTAAATTAGGAAACAAGCACTTTGTGTAGGCCCAGCTTTTAAATGTGCATTCATGCTATAAAACAGGAAAATACACCAATAGCTTCGGCCAAATATTTTAGAAAAAAAATCACAGAGGAAAATGAAAGTGCACAGAAACAGATGATAAAAAATGTTGCAACAAAGAATGTCTATTACTGCAACTCTTGGTCTGTATATATGGTGAGAAGACCTTCATCAAGACAATAAAAATAGAAAATAGCCTTTTAAAATCTCTTTACAACAGTGGTAAATGGAATTAGTATGATAAAATTATGCTCTGCTGGAAAGACCAACATGCAAATCATTAGGTAACATTATTAAATGCAAGGGAGCCTGATATTAAACTCACCTAAAAATCACAGTTTACTTGGAGACTGTCAAAGAAATTATTTAGGTGTTAGGAGACTTTTAGAAATGTAAGTGCTCACGAGAAAAAATTTGATGAAAACATTCTAGTTTCTTCTCGAGTTTTGCTCCTGATTTGTCCACTCACCCCACTGGTAAGTTGTAACACTCCATCACAACTGGATTGATTTGACGACAACCGTGCTATTCTTTAAGTGTTCGAATGACATTTCTTTATTAAGTTAATTAAAATTAATAGAAGTTTGATAATCTGGAGATGCCCTTTGGGAAAATGGATATACTATATGGGAGATTACCGGGTTCTGTCACTTAAGGAGAGACAGGTCTACCATTTCTTAATCTTGCTATTTAAGGGGACTTTAATTATTTTTTTGGTCATATTTTAAAAAAATCTCAGTTTAATGAAGTTCTACATGGAGACTAGAACACATCGTTTTCTATTTAACAGTATTGAATCAAGTTTTCTCTCCAAGAAATAGCACTAGTTGGGAAAGCAATGCTGCCTTAACTTGTACTGGCAACAGGATCTCTTTGATGTGACAGGGACTTTGGGAGCCTCTTTTAATCCTTTCGGATTGAAGCCCTAATAAGACCAAGGTCTACTTCCAGCATCAAGAAACTGAAGAGAAATAGCCTGGCTCTTTATGGTGATTGTTACTCTGGGAAAGAGGCATCTATATTAGTTCATCTTGAGGCCATGATACTAGTGGCATGACCTCTGACAGCTGTGTCCTAGTTTCTTCATTATTAACGCAAACACAAGGCTGTCATCCTTTGTGACTTTGGAGAAACATACAAATGCTTAAAAACATAATTCTCCAACAGTCTCTTTGACATCGGCCTCTTTCTATGCTTTAGTGTAATTGATTTTTCTATTTTGATGCAATGAACATAAAGCTAATTAAGCTGAAGGTCAGTATGTGGGGCTAAAGCTGGAGATGGTATTTAAATGACGGTTTGCAAATGCTTAGAATAATTTTGCCCTAAGCATGGAGGCTGAAGCATTGGACCTTTTAATTAAAGGTATGTACCACACCTGGGCACAAAACATTTCCAGCAACTTGATGGAATAAATGCATGTGATCACTACTCTGCATGTGGGTAAGACCAAGGGCAAACATCAATAAAAACTACCACTTATTACACCTTTACTATTTTCCTGGCATTGTGTTAGCACTTTAAATAATAATCACAGCTAACATTTTGAGCAGTTCTGTGTGCCAGGCACTATAATATATATTTTTACATATACTCTCTAATTTGATCCTCACAATATCCCTTGAAATATGTGTCATTGTCTCCATTTGACAGGTGAGATACGGAATTTCAGAAAGGTTACATAACTCATTCAAAGCCATACAGCATGTAAATGGTGAAAATGTGTCAAGTGGGACCCTTCAGATGGTCCTAGAAGCCAGCCCTGTCTTGTCCTTGGTTGCCTGACCTTTCAGCACAACCCATATGGAATACTGTTGTTGTGCTTGCTGATGACACAGTAAGAAATCACTGTCCATGTGCAGAGCAAATGTTTTACTATATTCTGCTCCCAAATGGACAACTTAATCAAAGCATGTCTACCTTTGAGATCACTTTCCTCCCCTCTCTAGGAAGCCGTTTCTCACAAAATAGGTCCTGGTGTCCTTGGGGCCATGTCATTGGCTGGAGGATTATCAGGAGAGCGAACCTGGCTCAGTTCAGTGATTGACAACCTGACATATCACTCCAGTGTGCGCCTTGGTATGAACTGTACTTTTTAGGTGGAGTATAGGCCACTTACAAATACATCCTAATTCCTACACATATAAATTAAAAGGGAGAGGAAAATATGAAAAGAAATCCATTGAAAGACCTGCCCACCATCAATATCAATCACATTCAGCACCTTCCACATGCAGATAAAAAAGTCGACATCGGAGCATACACGCTCGGCACCAGGCCCGTTTAGCGCATTGCCCTCCTGTTCCCTTGGCCACACCCGTTTATTTCATGCCTGTGATGTGCCAGGGATTGTGCTGGACACCAGAGACATAAAGATGCCTCAGTCAGGAGTTCCCGCCCAGCAAAAGAGGATTACAGACCACTGTGACCAGCTCCTGTAAGAAGAGCAGATGCCTGGGGTGTTTGGGGAGTGGAAGGAGGAGCACTGAATTAGATAATCCCACCCTGTTCAAAGGGGTGTGCTTATTAATAGCAGTTTCATAGGGTTATGCCAACACTTTGTCTTGCTATTAACTGACTATTTTCCTTTACCTTGCTCTTCTTGATTCTCTTGATTCTCTGATTCTTTGGCAGCAAAGATGTCTTTAATAGAAATTAGGTCATTTTTTAAGAGTTCCAGCTTCTCTCCATCAAGTGAGGCTAAAAATGACTGAACCTGAAAAAAGAAATAGGTCAGCATGACTGTCGTCTTTTCTTCCCCTTAATGACATTTATGTACAGATGTCCCCAGTTCTCCTGGACAGGTGATTCGTGGTGTAGGAGGTAACACCGGGTTGAATTGCCTATTCACTGTGCAACGCTGGGTCAGTTACTTAAGCTTGCTCGGCCTCAGTTTTTAAATTTTTAAAGTAAGATACACACCTCACTGTGATCCTCCTGCAGTAAATGAGACAACGGACATGAGATGCATTGCACAGGTGCCCACAGCAGATGCTAAATGAATGGTGGCGGCAGCTCCTCCCCGACCGTGGTTACATACACTTTGGTGCTAACCCTGGATTCTAATATCAGCTCCTCACTTCCTAATGATGCAACTTTGGGTAATCTGTTTAACCTTTCTAGGCCTCAGCTTCCTTATCTGTAAAATGGGGGCTAATAGCATCTACCTTATAAGGTTGATTTGAAGGTTAAATAAAATAATGCACTTAAAAGTACTTAGAGTGATCAAATTATATATATATATACACACACACACACACATACACGTAAATATACACATGTAAATAAACATAAATAAATATATATACACAGATATAGATACATATATACTTACTAGATGTGGGCTATTGTATTGGGGTTGCAAGAACACACAAAACACATTTTTCTTCTCAGAGATCTTATAGTCTAGAGAAGGGAGGCCCACATTAACTAAGAAAACCATGGCAGCCGTGAGTGGAGTGTCAGTGGGGCACCAGGGAGGGGCTGTCCATCCCCCTGGGGAGGCGAGGCGGTGTGCAGAAACTTCACAGGGGTCTGATGTCCTCCCTGAACTGCTGTTCTCTCTGCCCGTTGTTTCAGATCCCCTCTTTGAAACGATCTTCTGTAAACACTTAAAAATTATTTGTACAGATGGCCAGTCATTCTCTGTGAGTCTGAAGATTGATTTCAATTCCTAAGCTGGCCAAAGGGCATGGAGAAACACATAAAAAGTGAAGCATGACTACAGTACATGGCTTTTAATTTTTTGTTCCTTGGTCCAACACTTGCTCTGCAGGGAGAGACAGCAGAGGGGCCACTGTGCCCTTTAGAATGTGTTTTAAGATTCATTACGGTAGTAGATTCGCACATCAGGATAAGTGAGAGAGTTAGAGAGGTCATCAGGATGCAGAACACCATTTTCCTGAACGCTGCTAATGCAACCAGCGCCAAAGCTCGGGAAGGAGCCTGGCGGGACGTCATCAACACAAACCCATTAGCAGAGTTCAGTGGGTGAAAGCAAAATTGTGCTACACGAGGGCTGCCGCTCCTCCTTTTCACCTTGACCTTTTCAAACTCTTTATTGCAGCTCATACACTCATGGTTAGGTCTCAGGGTCCTAGATGTGCCCACGTCATATTGCTACGCTCTAGGTATATTTTCTAAACAGCAGTTTTCTAAGAATAAAGATAAAGGTAATTGAATAAACGTGTTAGAGTACAACACTTAGTGAAAATGTACACACACGTAGAACGTTTTGGTTTTCCTGTGTCTTCTGGAGGGGAGCCATCCTCCAGGAGCGACTGCAGTGGGGTTTCCTGCTTTCGGCACCTCTGGGAGGGTTCTTTTAAGCAAAGGATTGTTTTGTCAGCATCTGTTTACTACAGCATCTCTTTTGCTTCCCCCTAGTTCATTCTGTTATGCCAAGGCAATGTGAGTTGACTATTTACTTCACTCCAATAAATAATAATTAATTATGCATGGCTCAATAAATATTCGTGGAATGCTGACTACATGCTTGGCACTGTGCTAAAGTACTGTCGGGAACACAAACAGATTTGTAGACAGTCTGCCTTACGAATCTTTTCCCTGAAAGGGGGCACGGGGTACCGTTTTGAAGATTCTTGTTTGCTATTTTTGCAAAATATTGAGTATAATGGTAGTACAATTATTCGTTTTTCCTTAAGATTTATAGATCACACCACATTGCCATGCCGACTGCCATCCTAGAATCAATCTAGTAGATAATACTAATGCTAATAAGTCCTTATACCTCCATATACCCTGTCCCAGTTTCAGCCAGTGGAATGTTAGTGGAAGGGATATAAATCATTTCTGGGTCAAGAGTTTTTAAAAATGGAAGTGTCCCCTCTATGCGCTCTCTCCTCATGCTGGTGGGATTAAGAAGACACTAGATGATGGTCCAAGCCAATACTTCAGAGGTGGCCACAGGGGAGTCCACAGGGCCAAAGGGATAGCCTGCCCTGAGCCCTCACTCCCCCAACTGGAGCGCACTCCTCCAGGGACTCTCCAAGTTCCCTGCCACGGCCTGTACGGGCCTCTTCCCCAGGCTGTGCTCCTCACAGTGGGACCATCTCCTGGATGAGGACACTCCTGGGCCCAAGGGGTGACAAAGGTGGCTGTTTGCAGGATGTGGGTGGAACTTGAACTAAGTTATCCTCACATGCGCATGTGAGGCTCTCTGAGGTAAGAGACAATTGGAGATAAAAGGAGGAGAGCAGGCAGGAGGGTGGTGTGGAAATTTGAGGAGTCTGAGAATTCTAAATGGGAACCCGGCCTTCCAGGGCATTACAAAAGTATATTTGTCAAAAGTAGGATGACAGAATCTATTTTCTTCAGCAGTCTGTTTCCAAAAGTGCTTTTACTCTTAAATATTTGGTATGTGTAAGGTTGCCAGATAAAATATAGGACATTTGGTTAAATTTGAGTTCTGGATAAACAATGAATATTTTCGTAGTATAAATGTGTGTGCCAAATACTGCACAGGCCATGTTTATGCTAAAAAATATATTCTAAAGTTAAAATTTAACAGGTCATTCTGTATTTTTATTTTTTACATCTGACAATCCCAGGATAGGCCTCCATTTGTATTCTTGCCAGAGGTCTAAGAGCACTAGGATGGGTCTACTGCCCGGCTCCCTAAATGCAGGAAAGTTCCCTGCTGATCAGGCACCCCCGTCTGGGACTGTTATAGGAGGGAGGAAAACTCCTAATGGTTTTGACACATACATTATTAGGACTGTTTATTTCGGTACCCAGTAACTATCATTACTGAGTAAGCCAAGAAAAGAAGTCTGCATTACTTACTATAAAAACTACAAAAATCTCCAGGTTGGGGAAAGAAAACTGAGTTTGTAGGAGCAGTGTGCAAACAGAGGGAAATTCATCCCTCCAGGGACCTAACCTCCCTCCTAGCAACAGCAGTCCTTTGGGGCTCTTTTCCAGGGACCTGAGGCTGTTTCACAGCTGAGACCAGCCAGAGTGAAATCTCTGCAACAGAACCAGCCAGAGTGAAATCTCTCTCCACCACCATGATGGCCTCAAGGGGCCATGCTCCCCTGTAGTGTTTTTAGTAATAATAACAAACACATGTAACACAAGAATGCATATAAGAATAAAATGTCATCAATATTATATGTGCATATACTCATATATGTATAAAATGACAACTAACATTTATTGAGTGCTTATTATGTATTAGGCATGCTGTGACTAACTTCACATGGATTATCTCACTTAATTATTTTAGTAATCCTATTTTAATATGAAGTAGGTTTTCATTATTATTCCCATTTCATAGATAAGGAGACTGAGGTAAGACAGGTCCAAAATCATACAGCTACTGAATTATATTTGATCACATAACATTTGACTCCAAACACAGCTTTTGTAGGGAAAACTCTGTGCTTCATTTCTAAAGCACACCTTATCAGATTATCGAATTCTGATTCTATGGGAGTAATTTTATAACTCTGTAAATTGTAGATAGCTGATTGTAGTGTAAAATAATTCTTGTGTACAGATATGTGAATGAATTTTGCCCAGCTGAGGGACAACCTCCTATGGAAAAACCAGGTCTGTGTCCATTTGCGCGCTCATTTCAAAATTGCTTTACTCCATATAAATTTGTGGCTCTTTGGCTTTTCCTTTGAATCAGTTATAATATCAGTTTGGGTCCTTCATTTAATTAATGAGCTAACTAAATTCTTTAACTCATGCTCATTTTATATCTGTATAAGACTCATGATTTTGCTTTAAAAAAATTATTTGTTAACAGTTTAACTACAAGACTCACTGATGGCTCATGGACAACTTTTTAGCAAATAAACATGAGAATAACTTGTAATTCGATAATCTTGTGGGTGGGAAATAGGGATGTGTGTGTCTCCGTCTTGTTTGGATCTTGGTTGCCTGCTATGTGGCAGATGTCATCTTCCCCTGACTAGGTGGGCATGAAGAATGTCTCAACCTTCTCAAAGTCCAAACATGAAAGGGTAAGACCTAGAGAGAGTCAAAATCTCTTCCCCATTCTGAGGTTCACTTCCAAGTTCAGCTTCCTGTCTGAGCACCTGCCCCTCCCCATGAATGGCCCATAGCTCCTCAGAGCCCATAGCCCCTCATGAGAGGCCCAAAGGGTACTGCCCTATGGCCTCCAGTGGAAAAATATCCCAGAGTACACTCAACCTGACATTCACACAAAAGAGCCACATATCCAATTAAATGAGTTAACAGTTTTGACAGAAGATGATTTGACTTTGGGTGGTGGGCACATAATACAGTATACAGATCTTGTATCATAGAAATGTATACTTGAAACCTATATGATCCTACTAACCAATGCCACCCCAATACGTTTAATAAAAAATAAATGAAATAACATAAAGTGCTTAGAAGAGTGACTATATAAGCTCCAGTATGAGTGTTTGCTAATTAAAGACACACATACATGCACCACGTAGGTCCTTCAAAAAAGAAATCACCAAACCCTGCTGATTTCTGCTCTTTGTGTTTTATTTTTTGAGATCATAGTGGGGGAATGTGAACATGCAGGGCTGCTGGGTGACTTCTCAGGTTTCTGCTCAGGGGCACTCCCAAGTAGAACTGTAACCACCAGTAGGATAATCCTGCACCTAATAGCCCAGGCAGTCTAACAAATGGCGATTAAATATATAACCCATAAAACAAAATACATTAAAACGTTACAGTCTGAAAGAAACATCAACTGCTTTGTTTGCATTGGGTGGGAATGAAGATGGGGCTTGGTAGGGCATCTTTGATCTGGGTACTATGTCACCAAAGGGAGGTGCAGAGTCGGGAGCCTGACAGCCACGCTTTTGAGCAGCCCTTTGCACCATTAGGTAGGGCTAGTGATGATTCTTACTGTGCTGGCCGTCTTGGGGATGCGGAGGAGTAATAGCTTGGCTCAGGACAGAGAGGAAATGATATGGAGCTTGAGGGGGTCATCAGGCTGGACAATATTTGTGAGCTTAGCACAATAAGGAGGCTCTAAAAATGAGATGTTTCAATGGCAGATTTTCCAGTTTCTTTCCTGTTTAAGAAAACGCGTTGACGGACATGTCATTGAAAATGACCAGTGCAGACGTACCTTGCTTTCACTTTCATTAGATAGAATTTCCAGAGCTTCCAGGTGTGACAAACCTTGGTACTCATCAAACAGCATCCCGTAGTGTGCGGTCCTCTCGGCCGGGAGCTGCTGCGCCAGCCTCAGCTTCTCTTTCTCCTTGGCCTCCCTCAGCATCTGCAGAAACACGAATATTGGAGCACTCAGTGTGCGCCTGTTTCCTGCACGAGACACGGTGACCTCGTATTTGTGAGAGTAGGTTTTAGTCGCTTTGGAATTTCTAAGGAAAGTATGTTTTTGATTCTACGGACAATTTTTACACAATATTCCACCTGGAATTTTGCATGTTCATTATGTACACAGCAAAACAAAGCGACAGTTCTATGCCTGGGAACAGGACTGGAAAGAAGCATAACAGAAGCTTAGCAGTGGTTTCCTTGGAAGTGTTTTCTGTGAGTGATTTGGACATTCTGTAAAATGTCCAAATTTTTTATAATGAGCAAATATATGTGCACTAGAAAAGTTTAATCTATTGTGACAGGGTTAACTGAAATGTCTGCACTTAGGCAGACTTCAAAGCAGAACCAAACTGACCTGATTTTATCTGAGTTATATTATTTTTTTAAAAATGTTGTGTAATTATTAAACTACAAAAAACTAATAAAATATAAACTCATAATGTATTGCTTACTAGACACTGACTATAAATAAGAGAGTTAGCTTTTCAGTTCTTAGATTGCTCATGAGGAGTTTGGCTGTAGACTGAGTCCCTCTCCTCGCTGATAGTTTTTTTCTCCAGTTATGTTTTTGTTGATTAAGGAAAAAGTCAACAGACAAACATAGGTCCACCAGCCATTCCCAGTTTCCTGCGCTCACTTTCTTTGGTTTTAGGCTTCATTTATTTGATTCCTTATCAAGTTTACGGGGGCATTACGTTTCCAGCATTCCTAATACCTGTGAAGAGCGCCATAAATGCACTGGCCACCACCAGGTCACGAAGGGAAGATCACAAAAGGACAGATTTGGTTTCTATGATGTGTCAATAGAACAATCAGCCACTTCCTCCTTTGGGTCTTGAGGTTGTTGGCTGAGAGCCCACAGGGCCGCAGACAGAATTCTCCCTCCTGTTTGTCGTTAACTAAATAAGTACAAGCTCTGCATTTTAAAGTTTTCCAAACAACCCCATCAAGCCACTGGTAATTTTTAACACAATAAAACCTAGCGAAGAAGGTTGGTAGAAGAAAATGGATTCATGTGAAATATGGTGTCGGAGGAGAGCTCTATAGATGGACCCCAAGAACGATGAACGAGTGGGTCCTACGGGGCGAATTAAGCCTGAAACATCGCTGGAGGCAAAAATGACAAAACTGAAGCTGGCCTACTTTGGGCACATCATGAGAAGGCAGAGATTTGGAAAAGACAATAATGCTGGAAAAAATAGAAGGCAGCAGAAAAGCAAGACCAAATAAGGGATGGATTGACTTCATGAAAGAAGCCATAGGCCTGAGTCTACAGGAGCTGAGCAGGGCTGCTGAGGACAGGAAATTGTGGACATCACTCAGTCACAGGGTCACTGGGAGTCAGAACCAACTCAACAGCATGTAACATGCACACCCCTCCCCACTGATCTCGCTGGGTTGGTGGTGATAAAATAAAATAATCAGTTGACATTGAAATTGCTTCCTTTCTCTACACCAACTTCCATCTCTGACTTTGTACTTGGGAATAGAAAGGAAAGGGCTGAAATGGAAGTTAAGTTCTTTGCATGTTTAAGTCCTGGCATCTGTTTCTGGGACAATGGTATGTCTTCTAACTGGTCTCCTGCCCTTGGCCTGCCTCCCTACTCAGTCTATTTTCAACACAGTAACTAGAGTGATCCTTTCAAAGTCAGATCTGTCACTCCTCTTTTCAAAATGTTGCATTAGTTTCCCCATTTCACTAACAGTAAAACAAGGTGCTTACAAATGTCCTTCATGATCTGCCATAGTCTGTTCCCCATTACCATTCTCTCCTTATCTTCAACAGCTGTCATCCTTTCTCACTCCTCTCCCAACAAAAAGCACCCTTGATGTTTTTCTGTTTATACCAGATACTCCTGCCCCAGGGCCTTTGCACAAGCTGCTCTTTCTGACTGGAATGTGCTTTACTCAGACTTCTGCATGGTCAAGCCTTTCCTCTTCTTCAAGTATTTACTCAAATGCCATTATCTATCTCCATGAACCCCCAATTCATAATCCAATTTAATATTTAACTTGTCCCTCACTCCCACATTCCTGATTACCCTCCTCCTGCTCTACTTTTTTTTTTCCACAGCACTCATTACCTTCTAAAATATTAGGTAATGTTCATTGTTTGTTTGCCTCTCTTCACTGGAACAAAAGCTTCTTAAGGACATAGATTTTTATCCATGGAGTTGGTAGTGTTGTGGTGACCCAGCTTAAGCAGGCCACGTGAATTATAGGAGCAGTGCTCAGGTGTGCCCCAGAATACTGTGTACTACACATTTTGCATGTTTCAGATGTATAATTAGAACAAACGCTGCAGATGGTTCATGTTGCCTCTTGGGTGACACATTTCTATGAGAACTGCTACTTACTTTTAGCAGAAGATTAATACAGATATGATAAAAATTGTGAAGGTGGCACAAGAACTATGGTAATCTGGGAAACTGACCAGGTCTAGTTCTTTGTTTTACAAGGATGTAAACTTTCAGAACTAGGAGAAACAAATGCTTATAAGCCACCCTGTCCATGGCATTTTGTTATAGCAGACTGAAAGGGCGAAGACAAATGGCATAAATGGAATAACTTTCAAAAAATTATTAATTGAATAAAGCAAAGTACGAAAGAGTGTGGTTAGCAGGCTACCATTTGGTTGAACAGTATATACATATATATGTGCATATGTGTGTATATATGTGTATATGCATAGCTACATATATCTTTATCTATATCAATATGTCTATATCTATATGGTAATTCTGATAGAATCCATAAGAAGCTGTTACAGTGGTTGTCTCCCAGGAGAAACTAAGTGGCCAGGGAAAGGGGTATATTAGAAACTCAGTTTTCACTCTCTACTATTTTGTGTCACTTGAGTCTGAACCATGCGCTTCAAAATATCTAATCGACTTGGGGTGGTAAACACATAATACAATATACAGAGGATGTACTGTAGAACTGTATACCTGAAACTCATACAATTTTATTAACCAATGTCACCTCAATACATTCAATTAAAAATAAGTAAAATTTTGTAGCCCCCCAAATAGCTAATAAAAAAGATAAATAAGAATGTATTTATTTTACTGACTGAAAGAAAAACTTGCAAAAGTATATAATCCCACCTGAGACAAGGAAACAGTTCTTTCCATGAGTGTCTTGGTCCGCTTAAAGCCTGGGTCACTTTCCGCGAGGACATTCATGGTTTTCTTGCCAATGAATTCCAAAGCATCAAGCCCACCTGTTAGGACACTTTTACCCTGCCGGTGAGGTAATTGCATGAGATTAGATTTTTACATTTTGCTGTTTCGCAGCAGTCAGCAACTCCGAGACGGCTCTATCTTTAAATATTAAAATCAATATAAAGTCACAATTTTTTTTTTTATCAGGAAATTTATTATCCATTTCATCCTATTTTCTTTCCCTTGGAAAAGTATATGTCATATAATTTGTAGGACATACAATGTTATTTAAAAAGGATGGTTAGGAAAAACCAAAACATGTTTGGGATTAATTTTACCAGGTCTCTGTGTATAAGTAGATATGTATCAAAGACATAAAATTAATAGGTGACCCAATTGCTACTTCTGTTTGAAAAAATGTTCATCCAAGTAACGGAGTTATTTGGAGCAATTTATTAAAATGTCAAATACCCTTGCTGGTTTAGGGAACTTTTAATCTCGGTCCCTGGAGCGTAGGGCCCTCAGGCTGTTTCAGATGGCTCTTACATACTTTTAGAAACTAGCAATAACTGCCTACAATCAGTATATTGATGGAATAAGACAGGTTGATTTCATATACTACTGGATTTAGAAACTGCTCTGTGAATCCCTTTGTCAGCTACTGTTTTCCTTGAAAAAAAAAAAAAAGATTAAAACAATCAGAATTTACTCACGTAAACTGTTCATATAAACGGAACTGCTTAAATTCTTTGCAACTCCTCTACACACCCTCCAACTGCACACCTGCAATTACTATATGCATACACCTGTGTTTTTCCCACCTTACATGAATTTAGATACATTATATTTTATTCTTATATTATCACCTACATGCATTTTCCAACCTCCATAATTATCACTTCAATAGCAATATTCAATTTCACTGAGTTAATATACTTTATCTGTTATTTCCATCTTGGATATTTAGACTTCGTTTTCAGATTTGGGAGTCAATCAATAATCACACTATAAAACAGATCTTAGCCTGACCAGTGTGGCCCAGAGATTGAGTATCGACCTATGACCCAGGAGACCTCAGTTCGATTCCCTGTCAGGGCACATGCCTGGGTTATGGGTTCGATCCCCAGCAGGGGGCCTGTAGTAGGCAGCCGATCAATGACTCTCATCATTGATGTTTCTATCTCTTTCTCCCTCTCCTTTCCTCTCTCTGAAATCAATAAAGCATATTTAAAAAACAAACAAAAAAAGATCTGAAAATACACATACTTTGGGAGGACTCTGGGATATCAGCAATTCACACTTGTGTATATTTGACTTATTTTCTCCCAACATTCTACAGGGGGTTAGTTCAGTAGAGAACAGAATGGAGAAGGAAAGTTGTAGGGACTTTGAGTAAGGGCAGACCTGGGAGGGGTGTCTGGAGCTTGGGAAGAGAATACAGTGACCTCCCAACCCTCAGTTTCACTTTCCATGGTTTCAGTTACCCGGGGTCAGCTTCAGTTCAAAAATATTAAATGGAAAATTCCAGAAATAAACAATTCATAAGTTTTACGCTGTGCGCCATTCTGAGTAGTGTGATAAAATCTCATGGGATCCTGCTCCTTCCGTCCCCCCCTGGATGTGAGCCATCCCTTTGTCCAGCGGTCCACACTGTATATGTCCCCCGCCCACTGGTCACTTAGTAGCCCTCTGGATTATCAGATGACTGTCACGCTCTCACAGTGCTTATGTTCAAGCCACCCTTATTTTACTTAACAATGTCCCCAAAGCACAAGAGTAGTCATGTTGGCAGTTCGGATGTGCCAAAGAGAAGCCATAAAGTGCTTCCTTCTGGTGAAAAGATGAATATGTACAGAAAAAAGTAGTATAAGGAGGGCTCAGTGCTATCCGTGGTTTCAGGTATCTACGGGGGATCCTGGAACATATCCCTTCCAGATAAGGGGGGACTACTGGACCAGAAGGTTGGAGAGAACACAGGAAGGAACGTGAGGATGCTGAAGACAAACTCAGAGTGCCCTGTGCGGCAGCTCAGGGAGACAGTGAATTCATTTCTTACACCAGAAATTTTAAAAGAACGCCTTCCCACACCCAGCCCTCCACATTCCCCGGGGCATACTGGACTTGTACTGCTCTTTGATCCTGAAACACCTCTGCTGCTCCTCATTCACCCTACTCAGTCTAGAGGTCCTCAAGCATCAAGTTGAGGAGCAGTCGTTTTCTATTTCTCGCATGCCCTGACCCCGAAGTCTGGGTGGGATACGCTCCTATGTGTGTCCACAGCCCCTCTTCTCGCCTTGTTGCCTTGTATTTGCCTGTTGAGTTGTCTCTGTGCTCTGGAATATTGTGCCCTCTAGTTTGTCAGCATATGCCCAGCACCTAGCATACCTCCTGGTATATAATGGTTAATCACCTTTAAAAAAATGAGTGAGTGAATAAATTGAACATGAGCATATTTCTAGAAAAACCAGTTAGTTGGTTTTACATAGCAGAAAATAAACCTTTTTTTCCTGACCCTGAAGACCAGCTACCTCACCTCAGCTGGGGTGTCTCCCCCTTTTTCATTACTTATCTGTGTTTTGTTGCCAATAACAAGTTTCTTTAAGAGGTAGGCAGCCCTCCCTCCAGTTGGGGGTGGGGTGTGTGGGGGACAGACTCCGGGTTATTTGAGGAAGGGAGAGTAGAAACTGGGAGGTGGGAATGGGAGAAGAAAGTTGGCCTTAGTTATCTGGAAACACTTTAGAAACATCTCGGGGATGTAGTTCCTGACTCTTTACTAGTATTTATTTTTATTTAAATGGCTTTCCAGTTTTTCAAATTGAAGGTTAAGAGACACAGAGCACTGAGGGAAAGCAGCTGCCCCAGCTCTAAGAAAGAGCCCTCTCTCCTCACAGCCAGAGGCTGTCCTTGCAGCAGCTGGAGGACTCTGTTACATCAGGCTGAAAAATGTTCCTTTTAAGCAGCTCCTTTCTTTTAAACATAAAATGCATTTTGTTTTGCCCTTATTATTTTGGTTCCAAGGTTACGCCTACTCTGTAGGAGAAAGCATAACAAAACCATAATGGAAAGTTATGAGCAAGGCCATCTTTTCTCTGATGTATCTAGGTCACGGGTAAATAGAGATATTAAGCAAGGAGCTGGGAGACACCAGGGAAACCAGAGGAAGCAGCTGACGACTTACTGTGTTCTGAACCGCGCTGGTGAGGGCTGACAGCATGCCCCGGGACCCCGAGGAAGGAGAGGCGGGTGGGCCTTCTGCGGGGCTCTGATCTGTAGCAGCATCTGCTACTAAAGAGAAAAACATCCCTTTATGGTTTATTTTGCTGATCTGAAATCTTCTACTTGTGCACATAGTGTCATACAGCCCAAGCCCAAGAAGCCCCCCCAGATAAATACATTACTCACTTTGAGGGACGTCATTTTCGGTGTCAGGTTGGGCCCCTTCAGAAGAGCCAGAATTTACACTGTGAATCCGTAGGGTGGCCCCTGCTTTTTCCTTGACGGCTGTCAACCCATGACCTATCAGGAAATAAAAACACGGTTCATGGATACAGCAGAAGTCCACGGTCTGCAAATTCCATAGCTCATCTTCCAGAGTGGTTGTAAGGAAGTGTGGTGGTGAACAGCACAGTCTTTGCAGTCCCTCAGATGTGGGTTCCAATCCCAGCTCAGCTTCAGCCCTGCCTGGTTGGGCCACCTTGGAGAAGTTTCCTAATCTCTCAGTGACTCAGTTTCTTCATTGGGTCATTGTGGGGAGCAAACGAGAGAAACCGAAGTGAAGTGCTCCCAGATGCCTTATTATTCCATTTGGCTTCTCACACTGTCTAACTAGCAACCTGGGATTCCAAACCGAAGATATTACCTGTGAATACTGTCCCTGTCTTAGCCTCTTTTCTCTCTTCCAAGCTCCTCAAGGCAGGTAAGCATCATTCATTTTTTTATTCCTTGCAGGCCCTGCCCGTGGCAGGTGCTCCATTGCTATTTGGTGAATTGAAATCAGTTGCTCTTAACATGCTCTTTCAACGAGTTAGTCATTCCTTTAGTATGGAGAGAGAAGGGTCAGGGAGCCCATATGTCAGAATCAAAAAGCAAGTCCGTGGGAAAACCAGGAACAGCCCCCAACAGCTCTGACAGTTGTCTTAAGCAGTAACAGTCTAAACACAAGCTATACGGATAGTCAGCCAGGAGGAAGGGCACTGGCTTCACTCCATCTGAGCTGGGACAAAACCTCTATCTCCCAGATCCAGCACAGTAGGTATTCAGTAACTATTTGGTAAATACAGAGCTGACCTTCCCATCCTTGCCCCCCAACACACTAACACACACACACACACACACCCTTGGGCTTAATAAATATTCTTGTCTACATTTTATTCTGCAGCTTTTTTTTTCCCTTCTCCTTAGAGGCACTCATGATGAGCTATAGCTTTTCTCAGAGTTCCCAAGCGGAACAAAAAGGTCTCCTGATGCTCCTAAGTGGCTGTTTGAGTTCTCGAAGGAGAAACAGCACGAGCTGCCAACCTCACAGCACTCGCCTCCCCTTAGCATTCTGGGAGACAATGAAAGATTTCACTTGGGACCTGGACAGCCTCTGGCTGTTAAAACCCCAGGCAGCAGCAATATTAATACGTGCGGGGAAAAGTCCCAAGTCGTGGCAGGACTTAGAGCCAAAGAGAACCACCTGGTCTTAGAAGGAACTATTAAAATGATCAGCTTTCCACTCCTGAATAAGAGAAAGACATGGATGAATCCCAAACCCAAATAATAGTATTGTATCAGCTGTGACTTCATCAGAGCTATCTTAACATAATTAGGACACTGATATTCACCCAAGAGACACAGGACTACTTATATCCAGTGGGAATCACCTGCCATTATACACAATCTAGAAAACCCTGAAATATTATTTACAATGTTTACAATGTTAATTACATGCAGAAATATATGTCTATATTCATGTGCAGATCATTAAATACAGTTCAAATTCATTATTGAGTTATGTGGGGGGGAAAGATGCACTGTAACTGCCAAAACTAAGACTTGAATTAATTCTCTCTAGCTTCCAACAAATTCCAAGCATTTCACTGGGAACTTATTGGAGTTTCAGTAACACATTTAAGTTACAGAATATAATCATCTAACTTATTTACATACGGAGTCCATATTCCTTGCCATCTTTTAAAAACATATTTTTCGAAAGGAATTAATGTACATCCAGATCTGAAGCTATGATTCTCACCTAGATTTCTGAGAGCTAAAATCAAGGAGTGAATGAGTTTGAGATGGCTGGGAGGCATCTGCTACAGCTTCTTTGCACAAGCTGCATAAGAAAGATGATTCCACATCCTTCCCTGAGACCATTCGGGGTTTATTAAACCTGACTGTCACTATCTCCTCTTTCACCTTTCCCCCCCCTCCGCAGGTTAGGACCATGTCTGATCCTCTAGAAAAATTGCTTTGTTTTGGAAGGAAATGCCATTCTTATGTGCATATCAATGGGATGTGTCTGTTTAACAGACATGACAATAGGCTGCTACTCCAACTACACACACACACACACACACACACACACACACAGCTTTATTGAGGTATAATTATGTACAAAGAATTGCACATATTTAAGGTTCCTCCAATGATATATTCTGATAAATAGTTCTTTTTTCCTGAATTCTTTTGTTAGTGAAAGTACACCTTTATGGCATTCTACTAGAAATATAAAGCTATGGTTTTTTCATAGCTAGGGTTTACATTGTATACCACACCCCACTTTGAAGAATAACTTCTAAAACTTTACTTAGTGTGACATCTAGTGCTCAGAACAAGGAAGTAAAAATGTGGAGTCATTGTCGCCCTTTGACTGGGAGGGATTCATTCTGAGATATTGATCAGTGCTACCAAAAACAGAGAAAACGACAAATATGAATAATACTATAGGGTATAGTTCTTAGACTAGTTTGTTCATGTCATCATAAACCCTAGTATCCTCAAAGAAATTAAAACCCTCCAAATTCCATGGTTCTGAAGATGGAATACTCTCTACCCCTTGACATATGCCATGTTGCTAAGAAGGTAAGAATGTTATATAAATGTTGTATAATTTAAAAATAAATGTAAAATGATTGGCTGGTGTTTAATTTATCACTTATACTCTAGTGGAAAAGGCCCTAAACTTAGGAGTCAAGAACCTTGGTTTCATCATTTATTAGCTGTGCAACCTTGGTGAGTTACTTAACCTCTCTGAGTATCTGCTGTTGTGTCTTTTCTGAAAGGAGGATTATAACATCTCCTTCCTAGGGTTTTACAGTCACCGAGGAGAAATATGAAACTTTTGGTATGGCCTACACTTATTGAGCACTTACTATGTCCCAGGAATGGGACTAAAACTTTTTAGTACAGTAAATTATCTCATTGAGTCTACTCAATAACCTTATGAGGTAAGGGATATTATTACGCCCATTTCACAATTGAGAAAACTGAGACCTGGTGATGTGAAATCACTCCCAATGTCCCAAAGCCAATAAGTAGCAGAGGCAGGATTTGAACGTAATCCTTCTGACTCTAGAACTCACATGCTCAATCACTATGTTATATTAAAATTGTATATGCCATTTATAGTTGATTAAATGTCATCTTAGTCCCATTTCTATAACTCCTTGGAAACTAGATCTTCGATTAGGAGCTTCCTCATTTTAAAAACATTGGTTTATGCTAAAATTAGCTTGACTTACCCTACCTTGACCAAACAGCAAGGTGAAGGTCACAGGTGCAGTGAAACTTTGGGGATCTAACCCTGCCTTTTCAGCCATGCCTTGGATGGCTGATGCTTTTAGGATCAGCCTGTGCTGTGCAGGAACAGATCCCAAGACACTGTATGGTGCTTTCTTACACCCCTGGTTCAATTTTTCTTCTCAAAAAGCACTATGATTTCACCAAGCCCTCTTCCTGTGAGTTCTGCTGAGATCAAAGCCCTATTGAAGGGCGGTCTCCTCTTTTTCTAGATGATAGAAATAATTTGTTGGTGGTGGGAGGGTCTCTCTGACCAAGTGGTAACCTAGGGGAGCAAGAGCAGTTCTAGGTAGCATCTGGATGCCTGAGTAGCTCTATGGATGGTTTCTATTGTTCCTATGTACTAAAGGAGCCCCCTAGGAGGGCACCAGTTAACTAATTCAGGGAGTTCTCCCTTTTTATTTTTTAAAATATGCTTTTACAGATTTTTTAAAAGACAGATGAGGGAGAGAGAAACTTTGATCGGTCGTACCCTGACCAGGGATTGAACCTGCAACCTGGGCGTGTGCCCTGACGAATCGAACCGGAGACCTTTCTGTGCGTGGGATGATGCTCCGCCACCTGAGCCACACCGACGGGCAGCAGCTCCCCCTTTTTAAGTTGATTTAATTTTTAAGATAACATTTCTTCCTTTTCATTTCCTGACCTCTCTTGTCCTGTTCAGCTTTACATTTTTATAGACTTACTACTTTCTAGTCCTCTACATAATTTTTCTATTCAATGTGTCTTGTTTATGTCTGTCTCCTGTCATTAGCATGTAAACTCTACTAGGGCTGGGGTCTTTGTCTTATTTGCTCGCTGCTTTATCTCTAGTGCCTAGAATAGTGCCTGCTATGGTAAGCGTTTGCTGAGTGAATTCTATAGTGAACATCTTTGTACATATATACTAATGAACTTTGGCAAAGGATCAACAGTGCAATTGCCAGGCTCGAAGTATGCACATTTAAAATTTTATAGATAGTGCTAATTGCTCTTCAGAGAGTTGCATCAATTTATATTCTTATTTGTGTGAATTTTTTAGAAATTTTTTAGAACAATACAGGGTGGGGCAAAAGTGGGTTTACAGTTGTTAGTATTAATAAATAATAATACAAGAGTACTCTGTTTCATGTAGTCACAACTGTAAACCTACTTTTGTCCCATCCTGTATTGACTATATTACAGACTCTTCTATTAATGAATTCAAGATATTATGAAAAGTTATGAGGAGTAGTTGTTTAGCAAAACACACAGGTGGTGTTGCTGTGCTCAACTAAAGCAAACCAGTGCAGCAAAAAGAGGAGCCACCAGCCTTCCTTTTGGAAAAGTCTTCTCTCTCCATGATGATGACTGATGTCCACTCTGTAGTCAGACATCTCTTTAAAAAGGTCAAAACTGATAAGAAGTCATTCTGAACTGAGAGTGTTTGCTGAGCCATCAAACAGAAATTCATTGACCCCTGGGCCACATTCATAGATTGTAAAGGATCATGAACAAACTCCAAGCATGAATCCTACTTTCTTAGTTTCTTTCCTATGTATTCATTTTTTAAAAAGAAAAATAAAGAAATAAATGAAATAAAAGAAAGAAATGTTATATTAAAAATTAAAGCAATCTAAAAGGGGGGAATGCCCTGAATGAGTTAGCTGGTGTCCTACTTGAGGGTCCTTGAGCATAGGGACCAGTAGAAAGTACCCATGAATCAAACTCTAATCATGATTCTGGAGAATTCTTACATCATCAGCAATATCACATGAATTTATGTGATATTAATAGTGATGTACACAGTTAAGAGTTCTCATTTTAGTATCATTTTGACAAGTTTGCTATTCTCTGTAATAAGTGCTGTCATTACTTCTGACAGTGCTGGTAGAAGGGTTTCCTTAAAATGTGCAGAAGGAAAGAAAAGTGTAACTTGGGAAAGAATGGAGGAGACAACGGTAATTTTGAAAAGTAAGTATGCAGATCAGATGCACCTCCCCCTGCTCAGGTTCTCTTCCAGAAGGTGTGTAGACTCATAAAACTGTCAAAACTAGAATTTTAAATAAACATTTAGGCCTTTTGTAGTATCTAGGAATACACTGCTCTGTTCTACCATGGCGCTTTTACTCTGTATACATATTTGTATGAGTTTCAGCACTGTTGACTTTCATTCTGATTATTTGTCCATTGCTCTTAACTTAGTACATTCTAGGAACCAGTCAGGTCTCTAAGAGGCTTGTGAGAAATCACATCTGGTTCTCACAACATCACTTTGAAATTATCAAAATCTTTTTTCTTTTTTTTTTTTTTACATTTTCCTTTCCCATTCTGGTTTCTATCCAGATCTTCAATAATAACCACTTTTATTGCATTTTATGAACTTGTCCAAAGGCATGGGTCTTCTTAGAATATGATGACAGTGCAGCTGTGGATAAAACTAATGCAAGAGTTACAGCCTTTCCAAAAATAATTCTTGGCTGAGAAATGCCTGATTTTATATAAGCATTGGGAAGGTAGCTTTTTCTTATTTTCCTTTAACTTTGGGGTCAACGTAGTGAGGCAAAGACAAAATAGAAAAATACAGAGTATCAAAAAGTCAATCCATTTTTTGTATTTTTCCACTTAGCACAGTACTTACAAACACCTTTGTCCTTCTGTATATAGCTACAGACTATGGAAACACCATATTGCAGAAGATGGAAGGAATCTTAGAATTTGTCAAGTTCCCTCACCCACACTTTTCTAAATAAGGAAGCTGAGTCTCAGAGAGGTGAAGTGCATGGTGTAGCTAGTTAGTGACAGTGCTTTGTGATCATAAGTGGTAGCAGTCAGGACCTGGTCTCAGGTCTTATGACTCCTGGTACAGTGCTCTTTCCAAGAGACAACCACCTTCTAAATGTTTCCATTTTCCAACTCCTCTACTGCCAGTTCTAATGATTGTGACAGCAGTTTTTCAACAACTGTAAGAAGTATTGGTTTCGCCCTGGCTGGTGTGGCTCAGCTGGTTAGAGCATTGTCTCGTACATCAAAAGGTTGCTGGTTTGATTCCGGGTCAGGGCACATACCCAGGTTGTGGGCTTGATCCCTGGTCAGGGCGTGTGTGAGAGGCAACTGATTGACGTTTCACTCTTTCTCCTTCCCTCTCTCTCTAAAGTCAATAAAAGCATGTCCTCGTGTGAGGATTAAAAAAAAAAGTATTGATTTCTGTTTCTAGTGCTGAATTGACAGCTCTGTGTTTTATTACAGAGTATGTGTTCTGCGCTCTTGTCTGCAATTGGAATCACCCTAGGGGTAACATGAGGTTTCTGAGTGGAAATCAATTGTAATGGGATACATGGTTATTTTCTTTCTTTACTTTCTGCAGGCAATTTATAAACCTTCAAGAGCTTGTCTACTGCTCTGAGTGCTCTGCTTTCCAATAAGTTTCTTCGCCTTATGACAATAAACTATTAACGCTGCAAAGCCCTGGGTGGGTATTATGCCTCCGCATAATGGAAGGCAAGCCTAGCTTGCCCCCCAACTCCAAGGTAGCAGATCAATATAGGCCACAATCCAGGAGTTACCCACAACTTTTTATTTATTTATTTATTTATTTATTTATTTATTTATTTATTTATTTATTTATTTATTTATTTTTAAATATATCTTTATTGATTTCAGAGAGAGGAAGGGAGAGGGGGAGGGAGAGATAGAAACATCAATGATGAGAGAGTCATTGATCGGCTGCAGCCCGCAACACGGGCATGTGCCCTGACTGGGAATCAAACCCTGATTGCCTGGATCCTAGGTCGACGCTCAACCACTGAGCCACGCCAGCCGGGCTACCCACAACTTTTTAAAGCCTCTGTTCTTAGGTGGCTGAGCCCTATTCCAATCCTGCTTCAGGCCGTGAGCCCTGCTTCAGCTCTGGCACTTCTCCACTTGTGGGACATTTGTGATCCCTATTATCTTTCAGGAGTACAGCTCCCAACCACCACCACCTCCTGTTTCCAGCTTTGGAACCCATGACTTCAGCCTCTCCTTGTGCAGTATGTTTTAGTTCTCTATCAGGTCCACAAAGGTACTTATCTAGTTCTAAAGTATATATTGGTATTATTTTAGCTACTATTACTATGTAAAGTCGCAGCACATCCAGCCCAGAAATCTCCAAAATATGCCTTAGGAGCAACTTACAGGTGGTATTCAGGTATTTCAGAGAGAGGAAGGGAGAGGAACAGAGAGATAGAAACATCAGTGATGAGAGAGTCATCATCGGCTGCCTCCTGCACGCCCCTGCCCGGGATCGAGCCCGCAACCCGGGCATGTGCTCTGACTGGGAATGGAACTGCGATCTCCTGGATCCTCGGTCAATGCTCAATCACTGAGTCACGCTGGCCTGGCAACAATACATTTTTAAAAGCCCAAATCTTATATTTTAAGAGTCAATATAATAGAGTGGCTTTTATATAAAAAGCCATACTATTTGGTTCAAATCTCAACCCAGCTCCTCCTGACTTCAGAAAAGGTCTTTGCCTCTCTGCTATTCAGCTTCCTTTTCTCTAAAATGGAGTAAATACGAGTACCTCCTTATTGGGTTATTTTANTATTTATTTATTTATTTATTTATTTATTTATTTATTTATTTATTTTTAAATATATCTTTATTGATTTCAGAGAGAGGAAGGGAGAGGGGGAGGGAGAGATAGAAACATCAATGATGAGAGAGTCATTGATCGGCTGCAGCCCGCAACACGGGCATGTGCCCTGACTGGGAATCAAACCCTGATTGCCTGGATCCTAGGTCGACGCTCAACCACTGAGCCACGCCAGCCGGGCTACCCACAACTTTTTAAAGCCTCTGTTCTTAGGTGGCTGAGCCCTATTCCAATCCTGCTTCAGGCCGTGAGCCCTGCTTCAGCTCTGGCACTTCTCCACTTGTGGGACATTTGTGATCCCTATTATCTTTCAGGAGTACAGCTCCCAACCACCACCACCTCCTGTTTCCAGCTTTGGAACCCATGACTTCAGCCTCTCCTTGTGCAGTATGTTTTAGTTCTCTATCAGGTCCACAAAGGTACTTATCTAGTTCTAAAGTATATATTGGTATTATTTTAGCTACTATTACTATGTAAAGTCGCAGCACATCCAGCCCAGAAATCTCCAAAATATGCCTTAGGAGCAACTTACAGGTGGTATTCAGGTATTTCAGAGAGAGGAAGGGAGAGGAACAGAGAGATAGAAACATCAGTGATGAGAGAGTCATCATCGGCTGCCTCCTGCACGCCCCTGCCCGGGATCGAGCCCGCAACCCGGGCATGTGCTCTGACTGGGAATGGAACTGCGATCTCCTGGATCCTCGGTCAATGCTCAATCACTGAGTCACGCTGGCCTGGCAACAATACATTTTTAAAAGCCCAAATCTTATATTTTAAGAGTCAATATAATAGAGTGGCTTTTATATAAAAAGCCATACTATTTGGTTCAAATCTCAACCCAGCTCCTCCTGACTTCAGAAAAGGTCTTTGCCTCTCTGCTATTCAGCTTCCTTTTCTCTAAAATGGAGTAAATACGAGTACCTCCTTATTGGGTTATTTTAAGGAATAAATGTATTAATACATTTATGAAGCACTTAGAACAGTAAGCACTAATGTTAAACTCTATCAGCACATAGTATGATTAAACTATCATATCCTTTTAGGCTTCTGAACTGTATCCATTCAAATGCAAGACAGAATGCTTACCTACTGTGGCAGATGCTGATGAGAGCAGAGATTTGCCCCAGGATCCCCAGCCTGCCCATCTCCCTCCTTGTGGAGAGGAATCCACAGCCTGTAGAAAAACAGATTAGATGGGAGATCAGCAGTTCAGTTTATCTCTGAATGGAAAAACATACATTGGTTTGAAACAAAGAGAAGTTTGGTATTTTGTGTTGCTTTTCAAAAAATCACCAAGAACCATGTCTCACTGGTTTATAGTTTATAAGGGCCATAAAAAGAATTTACCAACCCACACTGCAAAATGTACTTTGGAACCAAATTGATAAGTAGTGTTGTTAGCTTCTGAGGGCTTGGCTTGAAGTGAGAAGAAGGGAGTTTGATATCAATCAAGACCCAAATCTCCCATTATCTGGAAGACAGGGCCAGGGCTGTAGGGGGGAAAGGATTTAACATATTCGAGCACAAGAGTGATTTGAAAAAGTTCAAAACAACTTTGACTCGTGCAGTTTCTATAGAACTAAACAACTGTGCTCTTCAAGATAGAGTTAACTTTCAAATCTCTGGGAGGGTAGGAGGGAGCTTTGCCATGGTTAATAGGCAGTGCCTAGAAAAGCATCAATGAGTCTGGAGATGGTAGCAGAAACAGGTAGCCTTTTCAGGTAGACACCTTAAGGTAACCATCTCTCTCCCTGTCCATGGGCTTGGTAGATTCAAATCCTTTTACTAAGGTGTTTGAATTGGGACTGAGAGACTCTGGTTGCTTAAGCTGGTTGCTGACCAGAAGGAGAGAACTCAGGCAATGTAGGGTGACATAGTCTATCCACCATGCAGACTAAGAATTAAGAGAAAGCAGAGTGAGTAGAACGAAGATGACATATTCAGAGGAGCTGTTTGAATTCCTGACACCTTCTCAGCCCCAGGTTCCTGTTCTTCTTCAAGGCTCTGCTGTATTCCTATCTTCGGGTCCCATGAGATTCCTGCGCAATGTGTATGTGTGTGCGTGTGTGTGCGTGTTTCTCTTCTCTCTTCCTCTCCACTGATGTATCCCCAGAACCAAGAAGAGAGTGCATGGCATTTTACAAATGCCTGATGCATTTATATGTTGAATAAGTAACTGAAATTCATCAATTTTCTTTTTAAAAAAATCTTTATTGATTTCAGAGAGAGGAAGAGAGAGAGTTGAAACATCAATGATGAGAGAGTCATTGATTGGCTGCCTCCTGCACACCCCTGACTGGGGATCGAGCCTGCAACCCCGGCATGTGCCCTGACCAGGAATTGAACTTAGATCTCCTGGATTCTAGGTTGATGCTCAACCGCTGAGCCACGCCCGGCCAGGCTCATCTGTTTTCTTAAGTGTGCAATAGCTTCTGTTACTTGCAACCAATGCGTTCTGATCCAATTAGTGAAACCACAGCTTTCTCTTACTATCTAGGAATACATTCTAGAAAATGAGGCAAGAACACATTAGGAGTGGGAGAATCACAGCTCTTTCACTCCAAAAAGAAAAAAAAAAAGGAAGAAAAAAAAAAAAGGAAGAAAAAAAGTAGTTAAGGAAAAAGTGAAAAATTCCTACAAAGTTTGTAGATTCTATAACTTTTGACCTAAGACTGGTCCATCAGTCATCTCCAACACCCCTTTCCCTGCTGCCTGCCACTGTTGCAGATAAGAGTGGACATGTGAAACAGTTTTAAGCTAATGAAATATAACTGGGAAAGTTTTGCTTTCATAATAAATTATATAGTTATGGCTAGTGCCAGCTCTTTCCTCTCCCCTTTTCCTGCCCTGAATGTGGACATAATGCTTGAAACAGAAGCAGTCATTTTTGCTGCCATGAGAGAAAGGCTAGGGAATCCCAGACACTGGTTCTGGCACTGCTGAGCTAAACCAACGTGGGTTGCTGTCTATCTTCATTCTTTCCATTAAGTGAGGAAAAAACAAATTGCTATTTTATAAACTACTATAAGTTGGATTTTGGTTACTTGCACCCAAATGCATTCCTAACTGATTCACTTAGTAAATATCAAACACCACCCATCAGTATAGACTGCTGGTCAAGAGAAAAGGCTATGGAATTAAATTGCTTGGGCTTGACTCCAGGCTTTGCCATTTTGGACAACAAGTTACTCAAGTCCAAGTTACTTTAAACCATTGCTTACTTCATTACAGAACACAAGGTATGGTATTATAAGCATACCCTGTATATACCTTGTATAAGCATAAGAACCAATGAGCTCAGAGGTTTATTGTAAATATTAAAAGAAATAATTCATATAAAGCTGTGAGCATAGTGCCTGACACTTAATAAATACTTCATAAATGTTAACTAGTAATAATAATAATAATAATAAAGTATATTTTTAACACTAAGAAGTAAGTTGGCTTTTGTTTTTTTTTCCTGTTGGCAACAATGAGAAGCCTGTTAACATGAATCGAAATACTCATGATTCATGACTGTATGCTTTCATTTTTGGTGTCTACATTGATTTACTTCACTTCAGCAATGGAAGCCAATGGCAATTTTATACCACATGAAGACAGATGTAAGCTGATGATTAATATCATTCTTTCATGGAAAAAATCACTACCTATGTGATTAAGGAAAGTTAATACATTTAAGGGTGACAGCTTCTGACTCAAATTTACAATACTTAATATGCTCTGACAGCTGGTAATTAATTGACTAGCAAATGAAAATAAGTGTGAAATAAATCTGGAACTTTTTGCAGTATAATAAGTGACAACTTCAATTGATTTATTAATAAAGCTCCTTTGACACTGAGCTGTGACCTCCTGATCAGCTGCAAAGAATATTTATCGGTGGCAAATACTCAAATGACTAAGCAGGCACATGTAATATAAAAACCACATAAACTAAATGTTCAACATGAATTATAAATATATCTCACCATGAGTATTGTTTCCACTTTAAATGGCTTTAATGTCACATATTTGTGAGACCATAAAGTAGGCAGAATGGATCTATTCAGATCTTCCTTTATCAAATATGGTTATTTTAAAGCTTTTTTCTCACCCTCATGCCATGTAACCCCTACCTCCTTTATCAGACAACTTCACATCCTATATACAGAAAACAGAAGTCATTAGATGAAAACTCTCTAAACTTCCTGCCCTCTCCCCCTAAAATCTCAGAAGAATGACCTTCTCTGGTAACAGCAAATCAGACTTGGCTTGATCAAGAGGAATGTCGAAAACTCAAGTGGAGATCATTGAAACACCTATAACCACTGTGTAGACCTAAGAACATGAAAGAATGCAAGATTCCACTAAGTTCAAGGTTCTTTAAGTAGAAAAGACATTTATATACCTGGTATCTTATTTAAAGATCTTTCAATAGAAAAAATATTTATTTATTTATTTTAGGCTATAAAGTTCAACGGAATCATCAGACAGAAAAAAATGTACAAATTTTAGATTCCATAGAATGAAAAGGTCTTTAACATTTAGATAGAAAATGAATGAACCTGTCTTAAAAATCAAAGATCAACCTGGTTGTCCTATTTCCTTAAGTAGACCAAGATTCAGGTACTGTGTGTATAACATGTGTCTAGGCATGTGAGTGATGAGAGCTGTGACACCAAACCCTGTTTAGGTTTTGTAACTCATGACACAGCTTCTCTAAAAAGGGATTCCATGTGATATTTGGGAGGATGTGAATTGCTCTGGATTGCCTGTAGCTCTGTCAAAGTATTGGCTTGAAAATGGCCTCAGTTATTTCCAGGTAATTTTCTTCCTTGGTGAGTATGGATCATCCAATTCCGGTAAGACTTAAAAATAAATATAGAAAGGCTTAAAGCATCAAAGTCAGGCTATTAAAGTTTTGTGCATATTTGGTCTTTTCTGTACTACTAAGGTTTAAGGAATTTGACCAATTGGAGCATCAATGTTTGAAAACCAATTAAAATGAATAAATGAATTATCAGACTTCTGATTTTAAGTTGAAATCTTCCAGAAATTATGCATCTAAGAGGTCTTAAGACCCACTCTATGAATTTAATATATTTGTAACAATTATTAAGCACTTAGCAAGGTTTTGTTTAAGTAGATAAATGACGTACTTAAAAAGGAAATAGAACATATTAAGTTTATAGACGCTGTTTAAAAATATTTAAATGTGTTTAAGTTGGTAAAAAGGGCCAAGCATTAATCAAAAGCCCTTGAAAGTGATTGTTCAATTTGCTAGGTTTCTAAATAAAAATTTGTGAGGTAACTATAAGGCCTAGGGAGAACTGAAATTTTGAATTTGTAGCCATAATAAATTGAACACTAATTGTTTAACCAAATGAAAAGTCTAGGCAGTCCTTTTTATGCAAAAACACACTGGCTTACACCAAAAACCCGTCTAAACACAAATTAAACGTTACTGCACCCCCACTCACGATGCCTTCCTTCCCCTCTATCACTATGGAGGTGATGTCTTCCTCTTAGTTCCAATTATCACCTCCACCTCAACCCCTTTGGGCCTGGGTAGGTTGGTTTTCCCTTTTCTCCTGACTTTTCAACCTTTCTCTACTGGTTATTTTCAATCACATTCTCGATTCCTCCATCTTAAAACCAACAAATGCAAATCACGATTACATAACGTTTCTTTCAAACCTAACCTATTTTCTGCTCCAAGTCTTTCTTCACCTCCTAGAAAAGGTGCCTCCCTTCTGTATCCACCCTCTCTTCACTCCTCCACCCACCACAGTAACTCTCCCATGGCCACTACTTCATGAAACCATTCTTGTCACGGTCACAATGACTTCCTTTTTTTGTCAAAGCCATGGACTCATTTTATTTCCCCACCTCTCAGTAGCATCTGCAGATTAACCATTTTTTTCATTCTTAAAATACTCTATTCTCATGGCTTCCATCCCTCATTTCTGACTCTGAATCTTGGCTCATCCTTTAGTACTTTGATTTCAGTTCACTTTAGAAAGTTTCTACATGCATGTTGTGACATTATGGGGGCTCCTTGGATTAAATTACAATCCAAGTGCTGCCAACATTCAAATTAAACATGCATATTTATTATCTGAATCTCTATTAACACCTGATGCTTTGCTAATTAGCATATTGAATTGCAGAAACACGTTTTAACTGGTAAACATGGTGGACTGTTAACTAGCATTCTGAATACCTGAAAGGGGTTCTAGATGGTGAAATTAAAGGTATTTGAGGTTTGTAGATGATTAACTATATTTCTGAGTCTCTTCCTACCTTTACATGAATAGGGTATAAGAAAGGAGGTTGTCCTGTGCTAAATGGTCTTCCATCCAGCTCTGAACTCTGGGGAATTCTGGTTTCTCAATGCCAACTATAAGGGAAGAAAACCCTGCCACTTGAATTCTAGGCATTTGCCTTGAGTGAACCTTTCACTCAGGATGGTGGTCAGAGGACCTAAAATGACAGAACAATGGGATGTTCTCAAGCCTGCCTGAGAAACAGTTCTCATGAACTGCATTTAACACTTGTTAATGTTTCACTTAAAAATGTCAGTGTGGTACAATGTGATTTGAGATTTAATTTCACTCACTGAATGTAGTCGTGAGATTGTGGAGAGAAGAGGTAATTCTTATCATCTGAACTTCTTCGTTGGCTATTACAACCTATCAGAAAGAATCTAAGAGCTGTGTATGACCAAATTGGCTTAGAGCCTTCTAGGGCCAAGTCCTTGGTCTTTGTTCTTTCTTTCTTTTTTAAAATAAAAGCTGGGCAATCTCACCCATTCCCATTACTTAAATAATATCCAAGTACTCATGGCCTCCAGATCTCTCTCTCCTGACCAAATGTTCACAAAATCTCTTTACTTAGATGTCCCATAGCATGTTCAATACTGAACTCACCATCTTCTCAATCTTACGTGATCCCCCAACTAACTCTCTCTGGGTCCTAGTATTAGTGGTTCCCAAACACTGGTCCACAGACTGACTGCAAGAGTATCATGTGGGGGAACTTATAAAAATAGAGTCTTGGCTTCTACTGTGATCTTTTGAATAAGGATTTCTCAGGGTAGAGCCCAGGAATCTGAATTTTTAACAAACCTCCCAGGTGATTACAATATGCCACCAGATTCAGGAAGCACTGCCTTATATGACTAAATGGCACCAGTATCCACCTAGCTGCTCAAGCCAAAAACTGAGTGCCATCATGTTGAGCAGGCTTGAAAGGGGAAATACTCAAACAGAATTGGAGCAAACTCTACTCAATCATTGAAGAGGCAAAAATCTGCTATCAGCATGTCTTGGCCTATGTTCATTCTTCTTTGTCTCCTTCCACAGCAATTTTATGACTTAAACGTTCTGCTTTTCCTTTTCTAGGGAGAGAACCATCCGGTGATAGTCTATGTTTTCCTCAGAGAGTACTTTCTGGAATTCTTTGCCTTCATAATTGTCCTCATGCATTGGTGTTGAACAGTAGGGATGACATTTTTTTACTCTGGGTCATATTTCTTGGTGTTAAGAATTTAGGGACATTTGATATAGATGGGATCTTTTGGGGGGCAATGGACTGGTATATAATAAGACCCTATGAGATCTCTGGGGATAAATGTCACTCCTGATTAGCACCCAAGACAACCATCTCTGAATTGAGGCTGAAGACTTTCCTGATTCCTTAAGATTGATTTGAGAGTTCCATCTAAGGCTTCCTTGTGCCGGTCCTATCTAGTACTATAGGACATACAATAATCACTATACCATACTGCCTTCCCCAACTAGACTGTAGGCATCCTGAAGATAGTTGCACCACTCAGATTCCTGGGCATAACACATAGTGCCATGGGACTGACAGAGGCCTCAGAGAATCTAGTTGAACATGTCTCATGGATGCGATAGAGTGGATTCCTACAGGAAGCCTTAACTCGATGGCTTCTAGCCTATACATTAGAATGGATGAGAAATAGAAGGAGCACCAAAGATGAGGGAGCTTCTCTGAGTGCACAAACGGTGAATGGTGTGATCCTTCAAAGCAGAAGTGCCAGCTGAGCAGCTGGCAGAACCACTGGCCTTTTCTTCTCTATGCCCTTCCTGGCCACACCACCCTCCCTGCCAAGTTACAGCCAACATGCTGACAAGGCAAAGGTGAAGCAAATAATGAGAATTTTAAGGGACCTCACACCCAAAGTAACTATGCAGATACAAACCACTTAGAGAAAGATATACAAATTTAAGCACATTATTACAAAATGTGGTGCGTCCTAGAAGATACTGGTTGATAATACTTTCTCAAAGGCTATTCTACTAGTTTTTTTTAAGCAGGTGTTTTCCCATAGAAGTTTTTTAAAAAGGTGTGATGAGATGCTTTTAGGCTCAGATATCCCTGGGATCAAATAGGCTTTTGAGTTTGGCTGTTTTCCTATAGGACCTGCTATTCCTCGGGGGTCTGTGTTCAAGATCCAAACAGTCAACTTGTAAATGAACTTTTGAGTCAAGATTTTTTTATAGAGTTCATCCTCTTTTGGATCAGAAAAAGGGTTGTTTTCATCACTGCGAGAGGACTTCTTATAAGTGTCCAACAAAGGGCAGATAAAATAGAGCAAATGAATAATTCTTGAAGATGAGGCACAAAACTGACTTCTTCTAATATTAACTTAAGATAAAAGAATAGGTTACCAAGAGATAGACTCTCCTTTTCTGGTAATTCTTAAAAAGATACTAAATTTGCAACTACCTAGAAAAGGTTAAACATGACCGGGGTGAAAGTGATATCCTTTCGAACCAGCCCTATCGGCTTTCTGCCTTTCTTAGAACAAACACACTCACAGGTGTTCCTCCCACGCCTTGGCTCTACCTGATCTCCCGAGGGCAATGCCACATGGTCCCAACTCTGTGGCCAATATTTGCCCTTCCATCCAGATACTTTGTGATACTTCTTTATAGACAAATGCTCACCTTTACAAAGTCCTTGAAAGCTAACAATGTTGTGCATGGGGAGGAGAGGCGTATCTGTCTGCCTATCAGTTCGTTCTTGCAGCATCAAGGAGGTTTATAAAGTGCTTTCAAAAAGCAGGATCCACTCAATTTGCTCAAAAAATTTAACAAGGCAGATGCATAGGGGCATACTGACTTTTTATTGTGCTATCTTGAGTAACAATTTTGCTATAATTATTAGAAGTTTGAAATTGAAATGTATAATCTAGGCAGCAGGAGCATATATATTTTGAATTAGTGGAACTTGTGTAGTTTCTTTAAGTCATCTCAGGTCAGAATTGTGTGGCTAAGGTGTATTTTTCTTATTGAACAAAGTTATTTATTAGCCGTAGAACTTATAATAAAAATTGGGAACTAATGCTCCCTGCAAGAGAAAGATAGCATGGAGGGAAAATGGGTTCCAGAGTCAGGTATACAGGTATTTATAGGTATAGTAGATACGAACATGTATCCTATTGGTTCTGTTTCTCTGGAGAACCCAGGCTAACATAGACCCTGTCGTCAGTATTTTTTAAAGCTCTTCCAGTGGTTGAAATGCTCAGCTAGGGTTGAGAACCTCAAGTCTGTGAGCTCTTAATCCCTTTTTGGGTCCATGGGTGGCTTCAAAGGGTCTGTGAACGCTCTGAACTCAGAAACAAAATTGTGTGTTTATGTTGACCATATCCTGATCCAAACTCCCAGCTGACATCCTTGCAAAATAATTGTTTGGTTTTGTTTAAATATCTCCAGTCTTGGAAAACACCCTCCTTTCCGAGAAAGCCCATCACATCTTAGAACAATTCTAAGGAGCCCTGGCTGGTGTGGCTGTTGGTTGGGCATTATCCTATGCACCAAAAGATTGCTGGTTCGATTCCTGTCAGCTGTTTCATGTTTCGCTCAGATCTGTGTTTCTCTCTCTCTCTCCCTTTCCCTTCCTCTCTCCCATGGTAAATATCAGTAAGAACTTAGGTTGAACTAAACCAAATGAACCACTCCTACCAGATTATTCTGTTCTTTCAGGAGTATTTCGGGTCCAAGTTCTGCCTCAAGGCTGACAGCATCAATGCATTCGGCAAGCACCTCCTCGGTCACTTCTCCATTGAGGGGTGGCTCCATGGCACTGGTGTCTTCAGGCAGCTCAGGGTGCCCAGTGTCAGCAGTCTCAGCACCCTGAATGGCTTCATTTTCAAGCACATCTCCTTTGGGGTCAGCCAGTGTTGGCTCATTTGAAATTGTAGCTGAATCACAGTGCACTTCTGCATCTTTGGGTAAAGAATCACTATTGGGCATCTCAGTAACTTCTGCTTTGTCTCCAGTGGCTACAGTGTCACCAGCATCATCAGACATTTTATTACCTGTCAACATGATTACAAACAAGAACTTTGTGCTTTAATCTGAATTGTTGAACTTTAATTCAAAGCCCTGAATAATTAAGTCTGCAGGAGTAAACTTTCTTCAACTAATAAGAAACTTTATGTAACCTTGGGGCTGACTGTGTCAATATCCCAAAGATATCAATGTCCTAATCCCTAGAATCTGTGAATATTACCTTATATGGCAAAAGGGACTTTGCAGGGTGATCAAATTAAGGGTCTTAAAATGGGGAGATTATCTGAGTGGGTCCTAAAGGAAATCCCAAGTGTTCTTATTAGAGAGGGACAGAAGGATATTTGACTACAAAGAGGAAAAGATGGTGTGATGACAGAAGCAGAGGTTGGAATGAAAACCTTGTCAGGATTGGTTTAGGAGGGAGGTTGGCAAACTACAGCCTGCTGGCTAATTCTCACCCTTCATCTATTTTGGTAAATAAAGTTTTATTAGAACACAGACATGCTCATTTGTTTACATATTGGCTTCTCTCACACTGCAACAACAGAGTTGAGTGGTTGCGACAGAGACCAAACATGGTCCACAAAGTTGCAAAGTCTAAAATATTTACTATCTGGCCCTTTACAGAAAATGTTTGTTGACTCATGGCCTAGGACACTGCTTGACTGCCAGGCCTAAAGAGTTCTCTGTCCTAATTTTTCCTATGCTCAGCTGACTTTCAGTTGCATGGCCATAAGGAGAATGGGTCTATGAGTAAATGATGCTAAAACATCACTTTTATTCCTATTTTTGGTTCATCAGAACTGGTCATAGACACTGTCTATTTTAATTTCTTTGTAAGATAATTTGAAAATCCTTCTTATTCATCTGGATTATTAAGAAGCTCCAAACTATTTCACTTTTCTATAAGCAGGAACATAACCCTAGCTGTGATAAACATTTGTGGCCAAATAAAAAGCATTATGGACACTTTGCTGTGTGTGCTTTGGCCTAAAAGTATTATGATACCATTCATAATGCTAAAATACTTCAGCATATACCAGGTGACATGTGTGTGGGTTGTCATTTACGCCTTGGGGGTAGTTGGCTAACATCTGAAGTGGCCTATTCCAGAATATGCTTTCCAGAGGTCTTTAGTTAGCATTTCAGCATCTGTAAGTGAGAGTTCACCTCCTGAGAGGGTTCAACTTTCACCCTCTCAGGTAGGTACTCCAGGGTGTGTTAATTAGCATAAGGGATTTAAAAAATCATTTTCACTGATGAAATGGCAATGGGGCTTAAGATAGGTGGACTGGCAAGAAATAATATACAGGTTCTTCCTGCCCTTCCATTACCAGAGCATAAGATTACATTGAGCCTAGTAGCTTATTGCCCTGTGGAGTAGAATTTTTCTAGTCCTTCTAGCTGATTGCAGAGAACACCAAAACCTGAAGCTGATGAGGTTACCTGAGTCCTCCCCAGAGGCCTAAAAGAATAGAGCTAGGACTTTATCAAGCTTCCAGGAACAAGCTGTATAACTGAACCCAGTTGGTAGTATACATGCGAGTGTGCGGCAAAATTCTTTCCAAGAACTGCATGGTAATATCACTCTTGGTAGGGAGGTTGCATGGGAGGAAACCTACAGCCCTCATCCATCTCTCATGGCCAAATTGCCTTAGGTAAGTTCACCTCAATTCTAGAAAAACTGCTGCAACAAAACCTCTCATCTCTGCGGCTTCTCTGCATTCAGCCAGCAACACGAAGCCACTCCTTCAGAAACACCCAAGAAGTCAGCTCTACATTGTTGAACCGATACTGTTAAAAATATTTATGGACAACTTATAAATTTAATAAAGACTATATTTTTACATCTATTTATATAGTAAAAATACTCACTGTAAATTCAACCCTACGTTAACTTCCAATTGTATGTATCTCTAATCTATTTACTTCTACCTGTTACAGGTCTACAATTCCCCCTAAACCAAAACCAAAACCAAAACAAGAGATCTTTATGGTTTGTTTTGGTAGACCTTTATCTACTCTGGATGTTATTATGACTGGAGAGATGCAATCATTTTTAAGACTGTGCCCTTTTGTCTGAAATCATCAGAAATTGTGTTCTAAATACACAGCTGTTTCTGAGCAGTGGCTGTTGGAGTCCACCAGGACTACAGCTGTGATACATGCTGTTTCCCGGGACAGCCCCCATCTCTGCCCGGGTGCCCTGTAGGCAGTCACACTTCAAACTCTCTCCCAATTTACAGTTGGAACATAGACCACTGCAGCTAAGTCTGGGGCTTTAATGCTGGGGAGACTCAACTCACAGAAACAAGGAGGCTTCTTCAGTGAACTCCAAGGAGAGGAAGGGTGGTATATAAAGAAGTCTTTGTGGGCTGGGAGTAAGTTTTTTCATGAGTAAATTCAATCATTACCTAAAATGCTCCCAGAACTACGCTAGGTACTGGAGCAGCAGCATCACAGTTACAAAAATAACTTTAAAAGAGAAGACACGATTACTCTCCTTCAGGGAGTGAATAATCCGTTTATATTTTATTCCTGGTCAGTGAAGGCCCAGGAAGTCATTTCTGCTACCAAGAAAAAGTGAAGTGATGATGCAAAACAGCATATCAAATAAGGGAAAGATGAACCAGACTGACCTCATGCAAGGGAGAACCTTCGAAATGGCTCTGAAATGGTATTTAGGCACGATGGGATAAGAGTATACGCACACATCCAGCATCAGAAATGAATTCTAGGTATTCAGGATGGGCATCTGTGTGGCCAGGCCAAGAGCCCACATGGAACAACAGTGAGGGTAGGAGGGATGGTATTCTGAGGTGGACAGAGCTATGCTCCGGTCCCACCGTCCCTTTGTGGGCACACAACTCACTCAACTCCTGTTGGGCTTCCTCACTCCCTCCTCTGTAAAGTAAGGCTGGATAAAATGATCTGAATACTTTGTTCTCAAACACCGGACTGATGACAGAGAAAAATGAGGACAAGATAGCCAGTTTTTCATCAATCTAAATTTATTAAATATATAGGACTGCCTTCGTCTTCCAAGTTTAGGCTTCATGCTTTTCTTGGTATTAAACTGTCTTTCATTTTTATGAAATAGTGGGGTAGTGGATGGATTTTTTTTTTAATGGCTTTATTTGGCAAAAGAAGAATTTGGTAATACAATGACCGGTGGGACATCACTTTCCCCAGTCTAAAAAAGTGCCAGTCAGTAAAGGACCAGGAAGAACAACTCTGGATGAGAGGTTCTCAATCAGTTTGTAAGAGTTCCCAGGCCCCAGTCTGTTTTCCTCCAGTCTAGCCTCCACATGTCTGCCAGGTATTTTTCTGAAACATAGAGGGGAACTATTTGTTTTCCTGCTTAGAAACCATTAGGTTTAAATACCTTTGCACAGCATCCCTGGCCCCTCATAATCCAGCTCCAATCTCTGCCCGCCTCCTGCAACTCTCCACGCACCCTAATTCTTGCCTCACCAGACTTTCCATCAGAGGAGCCCACACAGCTCATACACCTTCCCCCCTCGGTGTCTTTGCTTATGCTGGTTCCTCTACCCGGGATGCCCTGCCTCCACTGCCTGGCAAACTCCTATTTGTTTCTCAATGCCTAATGTCACTTCTTACTCTGAAATTTTCCTAATGTGCCCTGCTCCTTCTGAAGAATTAATTGCTGCCTCTTCTATGTTTTTGCAATGCTTCTTGTGATATTTCTACTGCATTTATAAGGAGTATTTATTTACGGAACTGAAATATATTGTTTGGTATTGATTAAAGAGAAATAATGTTTGATTTAAGCTGGTTTTATAAATAAATGACTAGGTATATGGACTGAATTGCTGAGATTCAGGAAGACCCCCCTCCCACCCTCAAATTCCTTCTGCATTGGCTCACTTGTGCCTTAAATTCCACCCTGAAAAGCTCATTTCTTTGCTTAAAACTTGCAATGTGAGGAGTTTATCAGATTCTTTCCTGAGCTCAGATTTTTATGGAGGAAAGGAAGGAAAGAGCATGGAATGAATATAAGTGAGGCAGGAAAGGAGCCACCAGGAAGGAAAGAGGGCAGAAAGAGGCCTCTGAGGAGAGAGCGGTCTCGCCCTCAGTTGCCTAGGGTTGGCTGAGGTCTTCTGGAGTTCAAGAGACACTGATTTTAAAAGCCACCTGTTTGAATCCCTCAGGATGTTTAGGGCGGTAATTGAAGGTATCAGTGGGGCACAGGTAGAGCCCTCACAGCCCACACAGAGATGTCTTCCTGCTCTAGGAAAAGGCAGTGAAGTTCAGGTGCCTGACCTGAAAGGGCTGGAGATACTCGCCCCATTCCAGGGGAGAACGTGAGAAGACTGGGCGGGTGGGGCTGGGCTGGGAGTGGGGCTCAAAGCTGCGAATCCAGGTGGTGCTAGCTTGGGGTGCTGGCTGGGGTATAAGGGGAGGGCCGATGAGCTCGGGTGCGAGGTGAAGGCCTGCCCTCGGTTTTCCAAGCCCAATAGCAGGCGAAACCCAGGATGGAGGCCTCTCCCTTACCAGGACCTGCTCCCTCCGTGGCCCTGGCAGCCCGGACCCTGCACCCTGCCTCTGACTCCGACCTGGGGCACCGGGGAAACTTTTTCAGACTTGCTTGATGCTGGGACTGGATCCATCGGGAGCTCAAGGCAGGCTCCGCGGAGGTTCCCGCCGGCCGAGGGTGCAGACCCGGAGTGCGGGCGTGTGGGTGTGTGCATGAGCGTGGACCCGGAGCGACACACACTCACACACACACACTCACACGCCCGCACCCACGCAGGGCCCTCGGCCGCGCCGGGCGCGCCTCCCCGGACCTTCACCCCCAAGCCCGATCCTCCAGGGTCCCGCGCCCGGGGACAAGTCCCTGCCGAGGGTTTCTCAGTAACGCAGCGGGCGGGATTCGCGGGGCCAGGGCAAGGAGCGACGGCGAGGTCTCCCCACCACCCGCTGTCCCCGCCCGCCCGGGGGAAGGGGACAGGGAGAGGGCGCCCCGGG